ATAATAATAATAATAATAATAATAATAATAATAATAATAATAATAATAATAAGAGTACCAGTGGTGCCATCGGTGGGAAAACGCCCAAGTTTGAAGTGAAAATAATTCCCACTGTTGCTACTAGATGGCGCCACCGTCCCTTTTGAATTAATTATAACATAGAGATAGAGGTTGAAATAATTTTATAGACAAAACACATTTTTTATAACTAAAAAAAACAGTCTTCCTGGTTTTGGCGCCAACCGTTGCTATGGGCTTTGGGATCATACATTGTTTCCTATAGCTATAACACTGCGAGCTCAGTCAGTTTTTTTCGACGTCCATGCGCGACTGAGAGCCAAATCTGACATCACTACATCACAGTCCGCAGGTCGAATCCTGGCATCTCTGATTGGCAGTCCATAGTGTTTCGTCTACAGAATTCTGGATGCACCAATTATTTTGTAGCTTTAGCTAGCCTTACTCACAAACCAAAACGGATTGTGCACGACTCTTAACGTTGTATCTTGTCCGCACTAAGTCAGTGCCGACGACGTTATTTAAACATTTCAAGAGTAACTTGTATTTTCCCTAAGAACTTTCTCCTTTACTTTTCTCATCGGAAAAAACGGCCGATTTACTTCTTAAGTAAACTGAGTTGTGTTATATTTAAGAGGTTATCTTCGTAGGGTTGGTTTATTTACGCTTCGAAACAGAATCAGCTGTTGTTGTGTCAAACAGTTCTCGAAGTTTCTTTTGCGGAGTGCCTTGGTTCCTTTTATATCCGCTGTTTTCCTACACATTTATTTATCACAATCATCAATGCTAGTTACAAAAGAACAATGAGCTTCCCGGAAAAACAAGACAATATATCGAAAGATGAGTGGGTTGCCAAGCTGGAAGAAAATTCCCATACACAGCGTGTTTCCATGAATAATCTAATTATGAATTATCTCGTCACAGGTAAGGCTCTATTTTGATAGCATCGCGTGGTAATTTTTAATTTTTTTGGCGTAAACATCGAGTTGTGTTGCGCAGAGGGGTTCAAGGAAGCAGCAGAGAAGTTTCAACAGGAATCTGGAGTAGAACCTACCGTAGAGTTGAGTTCTTTGGACGATAGGATTCGCATTAGAGATGCCATTCAGAATGGACGTATTCAGGAGGCAACAGACCTTGTGAACCAATTACATCCGGAATTGTTGGATAATGACAGATATCTTTATTTTCATCTGCAGCAGTTGCATCTTATTGAGTTGATTCGCACTGGCAGAATCGAAGAGGCATTGCAATTCGCTCAGGATAGATTGAGCGAAGCTGGAGAATCAGATGATAATATCTTATGCGAATTGGAGCGTACTCTAGCTCTGTTAGCTTTCGACGAGCCTCATAAGAGTCCATTTAGCGATCTCTTACACCCAACTCACAGACAAAAAGTACTAATTCTTTATTACTATTTATTATTAATTTATTAATAATTTCTCTGATGTTGCATTAGCAGATTAATCTATTGATTTATTATTATTAATTATCTTAAATTTCTCGTGAACTTATAGATAGCAAGTGAGTTGAATGCAGCCATATTGAAAATGGAGCACAGAGAATCTACGAGTCCACGATTAAATAATTTGCTTAAAATGATACTCTGGGCACAGGATGAACTAGATGAGAAAAAAGTGAAATACCCGAAAATGACTGATTTAGGTAGTGCCACCATTGAGAGTCCAAAATAATTTTGAACAAGATATACCGTGGGACAATATCGATTTATTTATTAGTATGAGAAATGAATGTGTGATTGTATTATATTAGTGTTTTACATAACAGGATATAAGGGAAGAACCGAGACTCGAGCATTTTAATATAATCCCATTTGAGTTGTAACAGTTGTTTATTTTTTATGAAAAACGTGTATAAACTTTTAATTATGTATCATGCTCGAATTCGGAGAGAGGAACACGTTAATTACAATAGCACACTTTTAAACTTTCTGAACTCGCGTTCTCTTGAACCGAGGAAAGTGAAATTCGCCAACTTTCCGATAATTATTAGCACCAGCCACTCATTTGTATTTAAGAATATTTAGATCCACATTAGAAAAATTTCTTTTTTTAATTAAAAAGACTTACAAACAAGAGAAAAATGTGGTTTTCGAGTCACTTTGAGCATTTTTTATTTTGTTATAACCCTGAATAAATATTAAAAATAAGTTTTACGATTTTATGCAATTATATACAAATACAAAAATCGGTCTTACAGTTAATGCGAGTTTATGCGATGAAAGATCACTCGAGTTCAAGAAGGTTAATATTGATTTGTTCTGCAAAACGATTCATTGTCACAAGTCGCAATAATTAAAAGTACAAGTGTGTGAAAATTAACCGACATTTTCTAAGTAATAGGGGTACATTAAGAAGCGGACCATTTTAATGGATATCTGTGCAACAGCACACATGGTCGAACATCACAAAACTACTTTTAAAACCTATTAATGATAAACTATATATACGTTACAGTATAGAAACATATGTCAACAATGGTAGTTTAATAGTAAAGGAAAAATATACCGGAAATATAGCTTAGACGCGACGTTGTGTGATAACAATTTGATGTTTATAAAGATTTATATTTCGTACTATTAATGTAGTAAAAATATGATAATTAACAAACACTTTAGGGTCATTGAATATTCCTCTCTCAAGTTAGTTGTGTTTATAATGTATCTGATTTTTATAAAGACACGCAATATTACACATTAAATAATATTTGTCATTAATGAATAACATTTACAATTATCTCTATCAAAGGCTACCAACCAAACATATATTCCATCGCCTTGGAGACTAAACCTGTAGACTTTTGTGGTACATTCTCCGGTGATCTTACCGATTGAGGACTAAGGTGCTGGTTGTAACCAGCTGCCAAGGGTCTTGCATTTTGTTTTCTAATTGATTTATTCGCCGAACTGTATTCCTGCATGTAATTAGCTTTTCCAAGACTCGAGAAACACTTGACACGTTCATTCATTTTAGAGCGATTCTCCTGATCGTTCCCTAATACAATACTCTCATCCGTACAAGGACTCACACCAATCATAACAGAATCAGAAACAATATTCCCATTACACGCCAGCGCTCTCTGCGCTTCCTGCTCCGAGGCGCACTTTAAATGTATCCAATTGCAGTGTGCTTGTGGAGCGGGATGTTTGTCTACTATGCGAACTCTGCTCGAGATATGAGCCAAGACTGTGTTCATATCGCTCGGAGGAAAACCAAATACGGTCACCCATTGCAAAAGACCCTGAGATTCGCTCATATTAGGGTTTATTGAGCTATCAGCAAATATAGAATTATTCATTGAGTTCATTAAGAGTCTAGATTGATTGCAAGAAATGCTTTGATTCATGGTCAATATATAAGGTGAAGAGGTTTGTGACGTTTCAAAGGTATCAAATAATCCTCTAGTTGGCGGCCCACCTGTATGACCCTCTGTCACTATCTGCGATGTGTTGGGAGTATTAGCACTGCCAAACACTGCTTTCTGACGATTCGTACGATAGTCTGGGGTACCATAATGCGATAGCGGCGATGACAGTCCACTGTGTCCAATATGGAATTGTTTTGGAGTATCTTGAGGATTTGTAAGGTTTATTTTAGTAGGCTAAAAAATCGAAAACAACGATGCATCAAAAAGTTTAATAATATTTTGTAATATTATTCTGAATTTTATTTACCGTCGCAGTATCTCCCAAAAGAAAATTTGGAAGGTACGCACAAGTTCCTGGACTTCCAGGGCTTTGTACAGGACTTCCAACAGGTGATCCTAGTGTCATGGGTTCCATCTAAATAATCCAAATCTTTAATCAAGAAACACGTATGCAATAGTATAGATAATTTATAAGCTTAGCGATTAAATTGCCAAATATATCATGCTTATTGCTTAATTAAAATTATAATACTTGTTTAATATCTACGTAGTTTATATATTAGTAATTTGTCTTAATAGTACAATATACATGAATGTTGAGGTTATAAATACCAAATTATTAAGTAAATCCATAAGAACAATAAATTAATTTTTAAAAATACGTATTGTGTACCACGTACTATGTCAACTTAAAAAATGCTAAGATTTATAAATACAGATATCAACGCTAAATATTCACAGCCCTCCAGACGTTTGATTTCAAATAACGAGCAGTATTTGATTTTGCCCGACAGATGGCCTCATATCGTAGATCTCACCACAGACTTATCAACGTGCAAGAGTCGTGTCTGATTCTTGAGTGGAAAGTCCCTAGTTACTAGGAATTAAGGGTGCGCAGGTGCCGGAGCCAAACTTCGAGTTGACTTCAGCGACAGTTGCGGAAAAAGTAGGAAACTCCGGGACAAGGACAGAGAGGGCGATACAACAATTGCAGGAGAGACGAGGACAGGGCGATTAGGCTAGCATGATTTTTTTTCCAGGATATCGAAGTAAAGAAGTAATATTTTCTAATAATTCTGGTTTTAATATATTCGTTACACTTCGGCGGATGCGACTCCAAGGCCTGATTTTCCAATTTCGGCCTTAAAACTTTATAAACGATAAAATGAAGATAGCAAACGTACTTTTCTCGAATTAGATTAATCGAAGTCACTTAATAAAAGAATAATGAATCTGGGAAGGGTGAAGAACGTGTGCCCTATCTTTCTTTTGCGTAAATATTCATACGTCGTGTTTCCACCTGCGGTCACGTAAGGGACGTGATGCAAAATGCATGGAAAAATACATGGTACGCGTGAATAATAACCTGGCACAACGTTGGAGAAGTTACGTTCAACCCGAATACCAGATTTCACCCTTAATCGCGCTTCACCGTGGATTTTTGATTCGATAGGACGCAGATAAAGCACGAGACCAGTGGAGACTCCTAAAATTGTAGCACCCGTTCTCAACTTATTATCAGAAAGAACAATTTTAATATTGGACGTTTCTCTTCAATTATAAGCTTCAATTATATTTAGGACTGGGTCAAGCACGGATTAGGTTAAACTCCGCAGATATTTGAACCATATACGTTACAATACTATTACTTTAGCTTGTAATTTTTTGTTAATTTCGAGGCGGTGATACTCCGGTATGGATTAGCAGAATCCATATGAATGAGGATTAGTGCAGTTTAATGCGTTACTGCTACTCGTATAAATCAGTGGTTCTCAACCTTAGTTACTAAAGAAATGAATTATTCAGTAAGTTGATATATTTAGGTATTAAGTTACTGGCGTATTAAGTTACAACTTTAGTTTCTAACGATAAGTAAGTGACTCAGTTAGTAAGATGTCAATCTCAGTTACTGTAAGTTACTTACTAAGCAACTTGTCATCTTTAATTAAATCAGTTCTTCAATTAGTAAGTTGTCAATCTTAATTACTGTGTAAGTTACTTACTAAATAAAACTAAAACTGCTCGCTGCATGTTTTCACAAAGTCAAACTAGGGTTCGAGCTTGTTTCACCAATACCTCTTAATCGTTACTTTATTCCATGCACTCTCATGTTTGGATTTTTTACAAACTTAAAATCTAATCACTACAATTTACAGACTATATTTCATAGACTAGAAAAGGTGTACTAGATGGAACAACGACAGGAAAATGTTAAAAACTCCCGCGATCTGTCGAGTTCGACGTTTAATCGTTAATAAACGTCGCGAAGGCGTACTTCTTCGTTCTCGACTTTTCTTTCCATGGAATCTTCTCTTCATCGGAAGATTTCCGTTAACCATAAGTGCAGAGTCCTCCTAAGTGGTAGTAACTGCCTCGAGCTGTAAATAAGAAATAGAAATTTACGGAAATCGCGTTACTATGATTGAAAGACGTCATTTAAAAGTTTAAAAATGTCTTCTAATTAAATAAAACTCAATAAAATGTTGTGGTCCAGGGGTCCATTAATTCTTGCCATTTAAAAGGAAAACTCAACAATAAATTCTGTATAAAAATAGGATTTTCAAGTTTTCAAGTGCCTTATTGTAGTGTTACTGAAAAGCGAGATGACATTATTTAACGTTTGTAATAGGTTATCAATGTGTGCGTTTTGTAATTTCTTGCACATTCAAATTTCTCATAAATGCATAAAAATCCGCAGCCTGCTTATTTGGGTTTAGAACCTACCTTCGTATCACCTTCGGGATAGTTTTCAGAAGCAAATAACACCAAAAGTATCCATTTTGAGTGTATAAGTACACCAGTATGTACCAAAATAAAAGTGGTAGCCGGTTTTTGGATCATTTTCCGTATACATATGTAGGTGACGCTATACATAGTTATGTTCCGCAGTGTAGCTATTATTGCGGAAAGACGGCGCTGAATAATCAAGGTAATCAATCCAATGAGGAGCCCTACTTACATACCGTATCCTCCACTACCTACCGTCGTCACTGCCAATTACTTACATTAATTACATTAAGTGAACATCCCTGCCACTTGTCAACATATCGCAATAAACTAAGCTCTCGTGCAATAATCGAGATTCTACCGCAGCTGAGAAGCGGAGATCGAAGCATTCTATGCGTTGCGTCTTCCTCGAATGTCAAGAATTAATGGACTTGTCTGTAAAAGTAGTTCTAACCCATCGTACGTTTGGGAACAAACTCTAGGCTTTTCCATAACGAGCTGCTTTTTTATGAAATTGGTATTTGTAAGTCTATGGTTTTAAAAATGGAGATAATGAGTGAAAGCTAATTAAAAGGTCAGGGTAACAGTTGGTGACCTTTCCTTGTCCGAACAAAGGATGGTGGACTCGTACCAATTTCAATGATTTGAATGATGATTCCGTGGAACTTACAACAAAGTCCTGCGTATCGATTCGAATAAGACATTCCGTAGCTGGCGCAGGCTGGCTGGCCTGATTGATAAGGTTGAAAGCCGAGCACGTTGCCGCTGCAACGTAAGAAAGTAACGCTTTACCATGTGATGATCCACCAAATTCAAGATGAAACGCGGTTTGTTATAGAATATGGTAAAATTTATCGTCGGAATGAGCCTTCGTAAATCACCCGACATCTAAGTTTGAGTTGGCTACTTGGAGCGAGGTATAGCATTACAAGATTACAAGGTTCGGCATTGTTATTATTTTTTTATTAGAAGAAGGTTCGAGTGGAAGCTTCAACATCTTACTTTTTCGCGTGTATTTTCTTCAGCGTTCATTTTCTTTAACGTAACAAAGACATGCAATTCATTTCTGGATTTAATATCTTCTTCTTGGAGCGACAAATAAATTAATTCGTTATTCTCTGTCGACTATCCAAAGTCACAGATGAAACGATGATTTCGTTTGTGTTTAAAAAAGTAACAGCACATTTATGGAGGACTCCTGGGAGTCCGACGTTCGACAAAAATTGAGAATAAATATTCCTGGTGGAAGAACGAGATTCTTTTTGATCTTTTTGAAGGAAGGAAAGAGAGGCGACACCGTGTACGCGACGACGTGTTCAATTTATCGACAGTAATAAGCTACCGATTGACAGGAAATACTCGAGAAACTCGAGGAAAATTTATGGAAGCCTGGACTGGATTCAATACACGTTGCATTCCGTTTTATTTTTGCGCTGCCGTCTGAAAAGCGACTGGAAATGTCGAAATATGAAATACACGGAAGCCACAAATTTTCTTCATTTTTCCATTTTGGTAATTGTTCGAATTCAAACATATTCCTCCTCGAAAGAATTCCAATTAACGTAAAATAAAAAATTGCAAACGTTGTTACTACACTATATTGTTCTATTATAATAAGTAATAACAAAATTCTTACCTTGGCCCGTAGTTGCAAACATAATTCTTGGTATAGCCTCGAGCTGGATCATAGTAGAAGGAATATCCGCAGCCTAGAAGGAACGTGTCACCCCAGACGAGCTGGAAGTAATTCAACGATCTTCAACGTTTCATAAAACTCGACATTTTTAAGCAGCTAAGACAACGAAACAAACACATTATAATGCAATGATCAAGTTCACGTTTGAATTTCGCTTCGTGCTCGACTTGTCATTCATTTGATATTTTTACTGAAAATTAATATATTATCACAGAATATTTAATTACATCATCAATTCATAAGTAATTAGCTTGTTTGGTCTTTTTTTATACTGCATCTTTAATAATGCCACATTCTTCTAGCGGAGAAGCTTCGTTAAGGAGATATTAACAGAAAACCTCGAGCAATCAGAGCGCGAGTATGCTACGCGCTAGACAGCCGCAGTAGTATAGGCTACGCGCTGGACAGCCACAGTAGCACAGACTACGCGCTCGGCGGCCGCGCTCGAATTGCTCGGGGTTTTCTGTTAATATCTCCTTAACGAAGCCTTGAACAACATTTTCGTTAACGAGAAAATTGTTTCAAATCACCCCCCGAACCACTCCTTTCAAGAACCTCCAACATTTTTGGGACACCCTGTTTTGTTTTGAATTTTTCGTAAACTACATATTCTCAACGCAGTAAATAAATATGTCTGCGTGTACCATTTATGGTACCTATGTCTCGAAGGTCAAACTTAATGTGTATCACTTATGGCATGGAATGTTAATTCGATGCGCCTTACAATTAGTAAAAGTGCATTATAAGTGTCTCGTTGAACACAAATGGCCGATCTCATGGAGCGAAGTTTGCCACACTTTTCTCACTCACGATCCTCACATGCATTCCAAGTTCCAACAACTACCAACCTGAGTATAGTGACCAGTGTCGTCGCTATATCCGGTACGATAGTGCTGTACCTCGTTGAACCAATCCGAGATTCGCTGTCGCCAATTTGGTTCGTCGTCGTAGACTCCCGGAGGCCTCGTTGTCCATGTTCGTGCGATGTTTTGCCCCACGGCGAATCTTCCTGTAGATCAATCACTATTTACCGATCTATATCGTGTGTCGTTTAAATCGGAGTTTAAGTATCTGATGAGAGGATGATGATATCGAAAAAATATTTTTACAAAAGTTATTTGGTTCAAAGAAATTATACGAGGTAAATGATTTTGTTGCAAGTAAAGTAGTGGGAAAAAACTTGTAGAAAAAGTTAAAGTTAACTCTACTCACGAACGTTCCTCGAGTTGTCGTGGATCTCCGCGCATTGATCCGCCCATCTCTGCGCGATTGCGGCCAATTCGTCGTCCCATACCTGAAGAAGTTGTGGGTAGATCGTGCAAACTCAGTTAATGCAGTAAAAAGTATATCACGAAACCATTTCGAAATTGAGCTGCGAAATTAGCTTTTTCGAAATTCGTCTACACGATACGTAAGCTATGTGAACCTGGCACCCGACTTTTCGAAAATTAATTTTTTTTTATGGAAATAGTATTTCGTTTGTACTCGATTGTACCACCAATAGTTACGTTTGTAATTGTTGTGAACGCACAGTAGTTTGTTGTATTATAACGTACACTGCTGTGTTATGTCACGTCATATTGTGCTACGTTCCGTTATAATTGTTATAAATAAATATCGAAGTCAGTCGAACCAGACCAAAAATTAATTAGCATACCCAATAAATAAAAAAATGGTCAAACATCTCCTGACTTCCTTGCATATCGTTTGAATCAGTGTGTACGTTGCCACACGTCTTATATATACACTAATAAAATTAGTTCATGTTTAACGTTCCATGGTTAAGTTAGAAGAAGGGTGCCGGAAGACTGCGAAAATTTCTCGTAGCAACGACGTGTTAAAACTGTCTCACGGAAAATGTAGCGAGAAGATTAAGCAAAGCAGGTCCTTACCATTTCCCTCATATTCGCAGCGCCTGGCTGTCCATGAATCTGCCCCAGAGCCACTAGCTGTCTCAGACGATTATGCTCGTCCAAGATGGCTTGCTTCTCCTCGCAAGATAAGCCGTCAGCTCCTAGAAACGATGCAACTCTAGCGTAGGGATCAGTCGCCAGGTGTATCCGTGGATTTCTTGACAATTTTTAGGACGAGCAACGGAGACGCGATTCATTTTAATTCTAGACTAAGGTACGCCCCTTAATACAACTTCGATATGCTGCAGTCTGTAGATTGTTCGTCCACGAGCCACGATTCATCTGCAGTCTATCGGTATTGGAAACGATTGGCGCGAGTATTCACGCGAGAACAATTCGACGCGACGCGACGTTCGTGCACGAAAACGATACGTCCCGTTAATTCATTGCAAATATTTAGGTCCCAATTGTCGCGGTTTTGGAACATGCACACCGAAACGGACGAGAAATTCACAAACGAACCGTTCGGAATAATAATTCGGGCCGTCTTGTTGGCTGCACGGATTTCCCGTAATTAACTAGCAGCTGCTTTAATTCGCTAATGCAATAGAATTTCGCGGCCGCGCATTCAGCCGGCCCCGGAGCTGAATACGCTATTTTTAGAATCGAATCGATGCCTGGCGTCCTATCGAAATGTAATAGATTCCAATTTTCTCCCCGTAAATAATGCACGAACTGAATTATTCACGAGCTGCCCTGGAACGTTGTCGAAAGAAAACCTGAACGATAGAAACTTGACCGTTTCTTTCAACCATTCCATTATCCTTTTCTTAAATGGCTTTGTTTCCCATCGCATCGAGTACTAGGTCATTACCAGTAAATGTTTATGCATTTACGGCAAATGGAGATATAGTTAAATGTATGAGAATGTTCACAATTGCACGAAGTATATCAAATATCAACAATAATATAGACACAGTGGAAAATGTTGTGTTCATCATTTTGTGTTATGATTCGTGTTCTCGCTTTGAATCCTTATCATTGGGTATAGGGGGAGCGATACTACACTAATAGAGCTAAAATTTTATTCATATACAGTTAGAACCTATGTAATCTAACATTTGCAGTAGTATTGGTTTTACAACCCGATCAAAATCCACGAATCCTATATAAATTTGTTTTCTTTAGCATCTAATCTTTGGAATTAATTTTTTAATTCTTTAGTGCAAAACACCCATGCATGGGTGTCGTGGGCATCAGCGTGTTAATCCTGACAACTTATTTCATTTTCCACGCTCACGAAACTCTTCTCTACTCCTCGCAATTGCGACAATCCGAGAGAATTTGGGACGATAGGATTAAGAAATTCGATTCGCGACTCCGTCTGGCAGCGAATGTGCAGATTAGCATTCAACCGAAGAGACAAGACGAGACGAGGCGATGAGACGAGCACGGGAAACACGTTTTCCGAGGAGGAACTGAAAGTTATTAAGGGGAAAGAATACGGGTAGAGGGAAAGTTTCCTTCGAAAGACAGAGGGAACGTCGTTAAAGCAGATTCCGGAAAAAGTTTTCCAGCAAGTTGGGCAATCCAGCGGTTCGGGAAATCGGATGAAAGCCTAAGGAAGAGGAGGTAGGAAACGGGCTGGCAAGTTTCTGCGAATCGATAGACACTCCCTTGTACCGACGATGGACATTCGATTCTCTCTGTTGCGAGCTATCGAACCGATCTACGTGCATCGCGAATGAACTCCTTATTCGAGGCAGGCGTTTGTTGCACCTGCAACTATTCCGACTACGTGTTAAGTAGGTCCTTGGTAACAGTTGTACTGTTATGTAGATTCACCCGTTATATAGGGTGTCCCAAAATTTGTGTAAGAACCGGAAATGGTTCCGGGGGCAGCTGACACGATTTTGAACTAAAATTTCCTTTGCAAAAATGTCAGATGGTGCTTCGTTTTTGAATTGTTAACGAAATACCACCAACCAATCACAGCACTCGACTAACGCGCGCTCAGTCGCGAGAAGCTGGCTAGAGCCAGGAAGCTTTCAAAATCTTCAGTGGAAAGCCCTCATTTTTTAAATTTACTTATTTTCTCTATTTTTATTGAACTGTACAATTACTTTGTTTCTCTACAGCTTTTAAAATATTGCAAAGAAACTATACTTTCCCAGAAACTTCAAAACACAACAAACAGTTTTTTTACATATAAAATAATCATTTTTTGTTGAAATTCCAAAAATGATGATTGTAGTGTCTCCAATGCCAAGAACTTCAAACTACGTATATGTATATAGTTTACGAAGACTGAAAAAGAAGACGCTCTCATGAACCTGTTAATAATCATATTCATGAAATAAATTGATACAGTCGATGATTGGGTTAACGTCGATATTATCGAGTCGCTTTCGTCGAGTCCATCAAGAAACCGTGACGAGTTGTTTCCTCGTATTCGAGACCTATTTTCTTAATTTATTTCCAACACGAGAAAGGTAAACGAAAATTCCCATAGGGAATTAAGAATTTTACGGTAACTTTTACATTAAAAATATCCCAAATAAATGTGTATAGAATATGATTCGTTATGATTAATTTCTTATTGAGGTAGAACTGGAATATTTGTTAAAAAAGGTCACTTCACGATATTTTTATATGAAAGTTTCAACGATACTTTTGAGATTAACAGTGGTCCAATTAGATCCGCATACAATACGATTATGATTAAGTTTTTATAGAGATAGAACTGGAACATTTATTTAGAAAGGTCACTTCACTTCTCAATTTTGAGCTATTTAAACAAATTAATCTTGAATTTCGCAATTTTATATAAAAATTAATCGGCTAAAAGGCAATCAGAAAACATCGGTTTCGTCTTGTTCCTCTAAAAAAAAAAAAAATTAAATACCACTCTCGAAAGTTAATATCGTTAAGTCCCGTAATTTATTTCAACGTATTTATTTTTTTACGAGCCTCGTGGGATTTTCGTTATCGAGCAGTAGAGGTTTCGAAACGCTGTTTATTCCGAGTTGGAATTGTTTCTGAACACGGAGACAGAATCCGAGAGTTGGCTGGGGTTTACAGTTATAAGCAGTGCGTTCCACGCTGCTATTTTTAATTTCCAGTCGCACAATTAGCTGTAAATTTAGTTGGGAAGACGGGTGAACCAGTGGAGTCGTAATTACACGTGTTTTCGAGAACGATTTCTCTTTCCATTAGTCTCGTTTAGAGTTCAAACTTTGAGGAAGTTCTGCGAAGCTGCTGGTCTTGTTTGCGGAAGAAACGTTTTCGAATATGTGTGTGCGACTATTTGTCCAATAAAGACAACTTTGCAGTTGAAAAATTAAAAACATTCGCCTCTGAAGAAACGAATTTGACTAAGGAAAATTATCGATTAATAACTGTACACTAAGATACTACTTTTATTGTTATGAAAAATTATTATATTAGGAAAAACAATTTATAATTAACTTCTTCGGAAATGGAAGATGCATCTGCATAGAATATGATCAAATATAATTAATTTTTTTTATATATGATTTTATTTTTTTGTCTACTACTTGGTAATTAGCAACAGACTTAATTGGATTTCTGTTTGATTAGTGGTGCTATTAGTTGAGCTTGATTCCTAGGATGGTATACGTATACTATTGCAGAGTTTAGTGTCTTCGAGATAGTTGAGATAGTTGATAATTAATTTGTTACTGAGATAAAACTAAGATATTAACAAAAATGATTAATATAGAGTATGTATTTGTAATTGCCTTCGTTATAGCTTTTGTTATGCCTGACAAACGAAAAATTACTCCAAGTAATCCCAACTTAAAAACTGAGAAAAATATTTGCTATAGTTAACTTCAAATGAATTATATTTTATAATATTATATATAACAACTACAAAAAAAAAGTTGACAAAAGGACGATTATAAATATATGCACATTAAGTTCTGAATTTCTGATAGGAAGTACAATTATTACTTTATAGTAAGTTTCTGTTTTGGAATAGTGTGAAGGTTGATTCCTAGGATGGTATACTGTGTAGCGTTTCGATTGGTAGGGCTGGACGCATCAGTAGTTTCTTTTTGCACCGGAAATGAGCAAGGCTTGGCCGGTACGTAACGATTCGACCGACCGACACCTGCTGACTACATTCTGTTTCTTTCAGCTAAATGGATTTCGTGGGAATGGATTTGCAGCTCGTTAAATAAATAGTTGCCCATTTATCGTTCAATGTTCTCCAGCTATCGGAATATACCTAAGTTTAGCATTACGGTGGTCCTTATTTTAACGATTTTTGAAATCTACGTACCCATTAAATATCTTAAAAATACATAAAAAGAAACGAGAGAGCGAGTTCTTTGATTGACGATTTATCTTAAGAATGATTTATCAGAACACGATGAATTTAGGTATAAAATTCCTGTAAAATTTAAGCTCTCAATTTTAATATTAATACACGCCCAAAACCTTCCGAAGTTTTAAATGGGAAATAAAATGCATGGAATATTTTCAATCGGTTACTTTTACTTTTACAACTTCGGTAAAAATTGATGAAATGATTTGAAATTTGGCAGACTCCATAATGGGTTATTCGCGTTAAATAAATAAATATTATAGAAACGTGTCAAACACCAATACCGCGCAACAAAATCGACGGAGTTATGCGTATTTGAAAAATAGCAAAATTTTTACGAACAATCTTGTTACGTCTTGCATAATTCTGAAGAGGTACCGATATCGACAATATCCTCTCCTTTCTTCCAAATCACGTAGGAAATTAGGAATGTGGATGAATGGAGATCTCAGGAACCAGGAAGACTCGGTAGCACTTGAGTTGTAATTCCCAATGCCGAACATGGTCGTTTGTCTGAAGTTTCGCACACGTAAAGTTAGAAGAATTCGCTTCTCGGGCATTGTCTCGTTCTTTGTAGTCGTCGCGTCAGCGTTGTCTGCTTCGTCTTGGTCGGTTGGATTTCGAGTTCGAATGATTCATTTCCACGAGAAACGATTTGAATAATCTCCAGCGGCTCCGGGTAACGTGATTTCCAGCACTTCCATCAGTCTCCGGACGACACTCGTACGATAAAAACGTGACCAGACATGACCACCGTTTAACACGGCTTGTTACTCCAATGAATTCATCTATTTTTCATCTGGCTTCGCTTCGACGCCACGTCTCCTCCGAAATATTTATTACTTTCATTAATTTAGGGGCTCTCGTAAACTCTGTCGAGTGCTACTTAACGATTTTAACGCCTTCGCAATGTTTCAGACTTTTTTTTCGTTTGCATACTTTTTCGATTCATAATTTCCATTCGGTTCCTTCGTGAATTAACAATAACAATTAACAATCGTGTCTTAACAAGAGTAATGTACCTATGCCTAATTCTAAATATAATTTACTGTGTCCTAAAAATTCATAGAATATGATAAATTTTTAAATAATATATGCACATAAGTCTCAATCCTCTATGGGCCGAACATTCTTTTTGCAGATGACTTGCAAGGCATTTAGTTTGATATCTCAGATTGATCGTGCTATCAACCGTCATCGATATTGTTATTGATTATCAGAGATATTATACAGGGTGTCCCAGAATTAGTGTGAGAACCGGAAATGGGTGGTAGCTAAGACGATTCTGAATCACTAATTCCTTTGGAAAAATGTCGGTTGGTGCTTCGTTTTTGAATTATTAACGAAATAACACTGTCCATCATAAATGATGGGACTTGTGTCATAAAATGAGAAAAAAATCAACGTGTTCTGGTGGGAGAAAAAAGAAACAATCAAGGGTCGAACTTTGAAAAATTTAAGCTTTTTCCGAAACATCAAAACTTTACTTCATTGTTTCTCCAAAAAGTTTTCCGTATCGATGGTTTCACTGTACCGGAAAGATCGCAGAACCGTAGGACTTCCGTTGGCTCGTCCCCTAACCGTCCCTTAAAGATATTTATACTCACTCAGTATCGTCTTGCCGGCGCAGGACGGCCACGAATTACCTGGGAGGCCCTTCGAGGCGGCGATCAGCGTCAAGGTAACCAGGATCACGTTCCCCGCGAGTGCCATTTTCCTGAACGTTCACCGGGAAACGGGTGCCTAGAAATTGTATCCGCAGTCGTGGAGGTGCCTCGGCGCCCCCTTGGTCGATTCCCAGCCCCCGTTCTGTAAAAGACGGGCCGAACGGGCGAGTTGAACGCGAGATCCAATCGAGAGAGCCGAGTGGTTCACTCCGACACGTGGTGGGGCCGATCGAGAGGTGATAAAACGGGCCGATTTATGAGCCTCTTTTCGGGATCGAGCGAACGGAGGCGCGCCAGAGAACCGGTCCTCGGAACTGGCCGAACTAATAGCTGGCCAAGCTGGGAAACAGCGTTTATATCCACCTGTCCCATACTCGGACGGTGCAATTGTTCGCGCTACCTGTTGGCGAAGTCGCCATGGTGGGGACTCTTTGTCAGGGTCAAGGTGACGGGGAATTCAAGGTCACCGTGTCATCGGAGAACTGTTGATATTGACCACTTCTTTTTACTCTCGCTGTCTAATGTTGTATTAAGCCGCGCTATACTGTAATACCACGTAGTAAGCTGTATTATTCTGCATTGTGCTGTATTCTGCTGTGTTGTATCGTGTTGTTATGTGCTGTCTAACGCCGTATCGTGTTGCATTATCCTATAGCACCATGTATTGTCCTGTATCATAATGAATTTTCTTGTATTATGCTCCTTCTTATAATTATAGCAAAAAACCAAAATGACAATTTTTGAAAGCATCGAATGTCGAGGTACGGGAGGGTTGATGAAATCGGGTTCTAGAAGTTTCGAGAGAAATGTGTTTTAATAATTAACGTGGCCTACACGCTCGGTGCCGTATTACAAGATTAACGATAGTTTCCACGAATGTGGACTCGAATATAAATTCGGCAAGTTGAGACGGAGGAAGGAGGAAGAGGCAAACTTTCATGGGAGCCTGTGTTCTCTAATAAAGGAGTATAATTATTTGGAGCTAAGTAATTGCATCGATTCACCTAGCGGAGGCAAGTGATTAGATACAAGGCCTACTAACCTGTTCTAATTGAACTTCGGATTCGTTAATGTCTTGGTATTTTATTTTAACCAAACGGGACTGAAGTAAATGTACTCAACACTGTACAACAAGATTCAACCACTTCGGACTCTCCACTCCTAACAGTCGTGGACTAAACTAAAGCTGGTAATGCGACGTGAGGTTTAAAAATAAAACACTCGAGGCACCAAATTTTAGTGATTAGATACAGTCCTTACTTTTTGTTCCAATTTAACTTCGATCTCGTTAATGCCTTGGTATTATCAAGGTATCAAATTTTAGTAATTAACTAAAGTTCTAACTTTATTCTAATTGAACAGGACTGAATTAAATAAAACACTTGAAACATCAAATTTTAATTTTGTTCTTCTTGTAACTTGATCTACTCAAATAAATAAAGGATTAGAGATATTAAATTTTGATTTTACTCTTCTTATCACTAGATGGTAGTTATGCATGATCAATCCTGATTATGATAGACTGCGGATTTTTATAAATTTATAGGAAATTTGAATACTCAAGAAACTGAAAAATGCACACAGTATGCAATGATATAAAGAAATATTGAAAAAATTCATATTATGATATTTTGGAATTTTATTTTGCATAATGATCCACTGTATAATAACCAGTACCAGTTTTAGCTACTTCGTGTCTCTCTTCAGCTATTAAATTGCGTTTATAGTTTCTCTTCAATTTAAAGAAAAATAATACGCAATTGTTAACGCATATCAACACAATATTCGTATCTTCTATGAATCGAAGTGTGAAATTTTAGGTAACATTGGATTTAGCGAGAATAATTCACCTCGTATATTTGCCATAGATTGAATTAATCGTGCAATCAATTAGCAAGCGTTTATGCCTTTACAACCAATCGAAACAGTTATTCATTCGCGTAGAAAACAGTCTAGGATTATCACCCTTTTATGATACAAGCAATGTTTACAGTTAGGTTAACGTTATCTGTTGATTATTTAACGATACTTAAAATATCTGCTGACGAGTGCAAGGCTAAATGTTTCTATTTCACAAATTTATTTTACGAATAGAATGTAATTTCTTTAATTATTTTTAGCTTTTGTCAAAGCTTTTCTATGGATGTATTATCATAAGATTTCTGTTCATTTTTTATTATCTTTATTTTTTATTATTAATTACTCACCGAATGGAAACTCAATGGTCTCTGCGAAATGGAACCAGATTGGTGTATCGACCGGTTCGTTGGCGATTGATCATCATGCTTCTGGTCAGCAGACAGCTAGACTGCAATAAACATGGGCACTTCGAGTTTGCGACTTGTTTTGCCACTCTACGCGAATAAATTATTGCCCATATGTATGTCCGGAACCTCGATCTGTGGCTTTTCGTCCGAATCTTAGTCCGTTTCAAAACACGGATTCGCAAGTTTTGTGGTATTTGTTTTGGTTGACGAGAGTAGGAAACTTTTGCACGCTTGATATTTCGTGTCAGGAACGGCTCCATAAGAGCAGAATACATTAAAAGAGACCGTGCACATTGATTTGCAGACTCTAAATGGTCGAAACGATTTTATTTGCTTTAATTTTATTTGAATTGAAATTTTGTCTAAATGTTTTTTATTCGGATTGATTTAGGCAATACTTTTAAATATTCGATTTTGCTTTTATCTTGGTAATCTTTCTATTGAAACTTGATATATAATTGAAATTCTATTGAAATGTAATAAGAATTGAAATTCTATCGAAATTCGATATCTATGACATTTAGAACAATAATATCTAATCGGTTCAACGCTTTGGCAAGCCGTCCAACAATTCCAAATTAAACGCAAAAATACTTCCTAAAGCGAATAAGAGAACAAACGTCGTCGACTAATTGTTAAACTTCCTAAAACAGTAATTGTTGAAGTTTCGAGAAATATGCATTCCGGCGTTAAAAATCACGTAGCTGTGGCTTGGTTTAGTTGACGTTAAAAATGATTTACCTTGTTCTAGGCATTTATCTCTCGTTGTTCGGGAGACGGTGCTGCTCGCGAATGCACGTTGCATCGGGTACGTGAACTTTGGAATGCAAATTTTTCCTCCAGTTTCGGCGCCAACGAGAAAATTTTCTACGCGAGAACGTGCCGTGCGTTTCGCGGTGTCTCCTTCGATTTATTTTTCCCGGGTCTTTCTTTTTCTTCCGTCTAAATTTTGCGATAACAGTCTCCGGAGAGGACTGCGGCAAACCTAATTTCCTTGTCTTCGCGTTGGATCTCGACTTACAGTAATATTTCCATTATTGATTTTACTAGGAATGCTGAGACAGTGGAGCGATATTTCGAAGCAAACGAAATTTAGTAGAGATGTAATTTTGTCAACATTTGCATCTTCCAGTGACTGCATTTTAAGGAATCGAGATTAAATTTCTTTGATATTTAAGCGAACGTACTTCAAGAACATTGTATTTTCGTTTGTTTGAGTTTTAAGGCGAATCAATTTCAGAGCTATTGCATTTTAAGAGGGTATTCTACACTCTTCGTAAAAAAATTCGAAACACATTTTCAAAACCGTGCCGGACGAAATCAGCGTTCAAGAGCGAAACGGTACGTTATCAAGGAGCTTCAGTCGTTCGTGGTCAGACCAGACCGGACTACAATAGAACATGGGTGGAACGAGTATTATTTGTTTTGATTTCAAAGTTTACGAAACTATCCTTTGTTTTTTCTTTAAAGTTTAATAAGATATTACAAAAATTAAAGTTTTTGTCATTTATTTTTGCAAAATGTTGTTTTTTTTTTTTTATCGAACAGTCAATTTTTGTAATTTCTTATTAAACTTTAAAGAAGAAACAAACAAATTGAGTTGTTAAAAACAAAGAAGTTATTAAAGACAAAGCCACTAGAAATTTGTAAGTAACCGTCACATTTTTCGTCGTTTCGCAGTGGCACTAAAGTAAAGCCTTGGTACATTTCCGCGAAAGTTGTTAAGCTTGTTTCGGGTTGACGGGAATGCGATAATCCTGGACGAGTAAACGCGTACTGCTTAAGTAGGAGTTGTAACATCGTTACCACGTCGAAGTTCGGATCCGTGTGAACGTACTTTATGCTTGCGTTATGTATGGGTTAGGTAAACGTTGTCAGAAAACGCGATTGTTCCTTGACCCTCGGACTACAGACTACAAACTATCCCTGTCCTAAGGAATACATTATTTATTAATTACTCACAGAATATGACGTAGGAGGGCTGAACGTCTCGGAATTTTTCATCGTCGATATTTCCAACTCAACCGAAACGACGTTTCTGGACATTTCCTTGTATCAAGTTCGACAACGACGCATCGACGGTGGATTGGCAGGGGCATTTCCCATAGGAAGGCGACCAGTTGTAAGAATCTGGCGGAAATTAAAGTTGTACGCGACAGCTGCGACTACTCTAACGGAACATGGGACCGTAATATCAAATCGTCGATAGATCTGAATGAAAGTTGACATCCACCTTCCTGTCTCCAATGCTGGCCTCTCTTCCTGTTTTGTCCTCGGGGATTTCTGAGATTCACTCGTTAAGGAAAACCAGTTTCGAGAGTACAGGGTGAGTCACTTAACACTTGCACCTAAGGTATCTCTGTTGGTTTTAATGATACGAATATACGTGTCAGGAAAGAAATGTTTGGTTACGAGGTGTTCATAGTATGTTAGAGGAACAATTGTCTGAAGGTCATATTTTTCGAGATTTCAATGTTTCGTCAATGCTTTTTTAAATGGAACGGCGTATTTTCAATATCGTAGTCTTGTAGCTGATGAAAAGACGAGCAATTTAAACATGTATAATATTTGTCGACCTTCGGATGACCTGCTTATACGCTGAAAAGCATGAAAATGTGACATCCTTACACGCTGGCACACCAATTAATAGTAATTTCACATTTTACGAATATCACCTGTTTATACGATATCCGCCCACTGAAAAAAATGAAAGAAACTCGAAGAAACGGTAAGCAAACTCCTCTAGCTCGTAGTAATCGTCGTATCGTTTATTTCATTGTAACTACATTAATTTCTCTTATACATAGCTTCATTTTACTCTCTTGCTCTTCTTCTGATAATTAGTACGTACAACGGTGTAACATTTATAATATCTGTATGTATAACCTAACAACGTTTAACGCGACACGTAGTGTTCACAGAATTCCTTCTTCGTTCACTCATTCCGCACGCAAACACACACACGCGCGCGCGCATACATACTTTTATATCCTCGATTTATCTTTTTGTATATATATATTCTTTTCGTTTCGTTAATACCTTTTTCAGTCACTATCTTTCGCTCTCAAAATGAATTTTTGTTTCACTCTCATTCGACTCTGTACCTGTTCTTTTCTAAAGCGAAAGCGCAACTTCTGTGTGCAGGTGTGATATATATACATTCATACATACATACATACATACATATAATATATATCGTCATATAATATATATATATATATAATATATAAAATTCAATGTGTATATATAATATGTCTGTGTGATACGTGTTATAGCATTATATATATTATATACATACATGCACAATTAGTGGTTTGTTCTTCCTTGCTGTTCTTGTTTAATTAACACGCTAAGACCATCGACTCTGAAAGCGACAAAGTAAAATTTCTATTTATTTTCTCGTCTCGATCACCCACCCTGCGATGACTAAGAAAGCAACTTTCAGCATGCGACTAAAGTATGGAATTCCTCTTACTCTTAAGATGAGCTTCGTTTATCGACCACTTCCTATCTTTATTCGTTTCGTGATTGAACGGAGAGCACGGAAATTGGAAACGCAAGAGAAACTACGAAAGTTTGAGTTTTTGGAGGCGTACGTAATTTACTGTAGTAAATATTTGCTTTCCCTTCTCATAAAAACTCTCTAGATAAATAATTCCAAATTAATATGAATGTTCTCTATTTATTAAAATATTTGCAACAGTAAGAATCTTAAAGTTAAAGTTATTCCTGAAAGTAAGAATTTTATAATCGATCTTGTTTCAGGGGATACTAGTCTTATGGATGAGATTATTTTTTAAGTAGAAATGTTAAAGTTGAAGTTACTTTTGATAATATGAATTTCGAAACTTATCTTGATTCAGGAGATACTAGAGTATTATAGTTAAGGTCATATTTGAAAGTATGAATGGTTCATAGCTGATTTTTTAAAAAGTAGCGATGTTGTAGATATTTCTGAAGTTAGAAACGTTAAAGCTAAGGTTATTTCTAGAGGTAAGAATATTAATATTTACTGTATTTCTAAAAGCAGAAATGTTACAGTTGAAGTTATTCCTATAAATAGGTGTGCGAAAATTGATTCCTCCAAAAGTAGAAATTTTATTAATGTACGTATTCGAGAAACCAGAAATGATATAAATGAAGTTATTTCTGTAATTAGGGACGTTACAAATAGAAATATTTCTAAAAGAAGAAATGTTAAAGTTGAAGTTATACGCAAGAGTAGGGATATCAAAGTTGAATTTATTCTCAAAAGTAGGAATTTTTACATTAAACTTATTAGATGACACAGTTGAGATTATTTTGTTACTTTAATAATTCTTATTTTTTCGAGCTAGACGCAAAAATTTTGTAAAGAAATTGAACATTTAAATTTGAATTGCCTGTATTTTATCAATTTCCTCTCAGTACTTTTTTCTATAGTACAGGCTATAACCATATTCGTAATGAATAAAATAAAAACCTTTATCATTGGTTCGACCAACCAGACTGACCTCGCGTTAATATTCCAGCCCCGTTTCATCTGACGTCACATTGAATATTGCACGTAACATCGTGCAGGCCAGGTGTAAATTTAACAGAGTTTCCTACAATACATACATGTATAAACAAACGTACCAAATTTCAAAAGGTTATGTCAAGTACTCTCCCTGCAAAATAATTATGAAAATTACTTGAAAAGTGGGTAACGGATTAACACGTTAATTGCCAGACTAATAGTATTGAACATTTCTACTGTAATTAAATTTTGTTTGCAGAATATTGTAAATTTCATAGTCAAACGTTTCTTGTGATATTTATTTCTGCAACTTCATCGAAATTCAAGTATTTCATCGAAATTGGTTTTCTTTGACGCTTAACTTTCAGAATTATTTTTTTAGCTCTTCAATGAAAAGCATTCACCTGTATATGGATTACGTATCGAAAGTGCTTAAGGATAGATATTATCAAAAAATATTTCATCACGTAATAAATCCATAAGTAATTAGCTTATTTTGTTTTATACTGCATTTTTAATAATGCCTCGTTCGTTTGGTGGAAATATATTTTACAGGATTAAATTTGTCATAAAATATATGTTTTCAGTGCATCGAATAAATATTTCTGCGTATACCATTTATAGTCAAATTAAAGGTGTACTATAAATGGTACACGCGGAACGTGTTAAAGAGTTGCGTTTATAAAGAAGAATGGCTAACGAGCTATCATTTCGTCCCAAACCGCAGAAATCTGAACGAAAATAACGAATGATCGCGAGAGCTAGTGTTCCATGGGAAAAGCGCGATTATACGCGGGAAAATAAAACAGCGTTGTCGGTGTTTGTTGCTCTGGAATCCGAGTGTTGGCCCACTTAGGCCGTTTGCCCCGTAGGAGCGATCAAAGAGCTGACTTTGAAGCGTGCTCGAGGGTAAGCCAGGTGTGCTTCGGTGCCTCTGTGCTCGCGTATTCATTCCCGTTCTTTTCACCGTTTCCATCTTCGTCCCAAAGTACACCCAGCCTCGCGGGCTCGTGGTTTTTTTTTTTCAAGGTGGAACGCGAGTGCCCCTCTCCTCAACCTACCGAAAAAAAAAAACTGAAAAAAACTACCCCTACCTGACGTGGAATAATTTAGCCGCCTCTTGCGCCTCGGTCTCTATTTTCAATCCATTCTGCGAAATACAGCGCGTCCATCGAACTATTCAAACGCTCTCGGATGGAATGTTTGACGCTTAAGAAAGACGTAACTTGTTTCGCTCGATCGAAAAATACGTCTATTCCTTCAATTACACGCGAGTATCGCGCTTTTCATGGCAACACTTAGGGGGATGTTTTGGTTTAAAGAGGTATTCTAATCTAGAACTTTTATCTCACAGTGTAGAACTTTAAAAATATATCTGTCAAAGGATATTTGTTGAATCGAATTTGAAAAAATATTGGCTTACAGGGGACGATGATACGAGACTTTGTTATATTTACTGTTTAATCACAGGATGCTTAATTTCGAAAATAAGAATTCTAAAGTTAAAAGTTCGTTGCAAAAATTGAATTTCAGAAAGAAGCTCTTTTAAGTTTTCAACTTTTATCTCTGAAACTAAACGTCGTATAAATGAACTGTACACATAAAAAAAAAAGTTTCGTTTGTTGTAGAAACGATTAAAATTCTTTAATTTATTTCTCCCTTCTCGAATGCCACGACGAATCGCTATCATACCTAATTACAGAGATAGCAATCCTTCATGCAATAGCGAGAAGCCACTGGTAAAGTATTCTCCAAGGAAACAAGCGAAACACACAGAACGGAACGGTACGCGAAGCGAGCGATATCTTCCAGCTGACGCTGATCGATAGTAAAGTACTGTTGGTTCTAGCGAATGCCATACGGAGAATACGGCAACCTTTATCCTCCATGCATCTGTTCTCAGCATTTTACGCATCCTCTTTTCCGACAGTTTACGAGAAACCGGGCCTGCTTTTCGCTTTTCTCTGTTTAAGCGGATCCAGTGTTTTCAGTAGTGCAGCACTACGCTCGGCGCGACCCTTTTTCCAACTAAGTACCACACTCGTATGCTTCCTTTTCGCTCTCTCTCCGTGTCTTTTTTTTTTTCTTTATCCACGTTCTCTTTTCCGTTCGGAGAAGCACCATCGTCCCTCTTGGCCTCTTTGCGATTGCCCGTTCGCATGGCTCCCACCACCGCCGGTTTCCCTTGTTCATTTTACTCCTCTCCTTTATTAGGTTGTTAACCAAGTTCTACGGATCACTGGTAAATAATGTCGGCATACAGCGTGGAAGAAAAGAAGGTGAACGTTATACTGCCGCGTCGTGAAATCGAAATGTTTGCAAATGTTAGGTGTAGAAATTAATTCTGTGCCTCTACATTCACCTATTCGTAACTCTAGTTCAAACAAATACATTTACTCGTCAGTTTGTATCTATTTTTACTCATAGGGATGGACGGAAGACTGGTAAAAAATATTTTCGACAAAAGTTGTACGGTTCCAAGGGGGACACAAGATGGCGTTATCAGTTTTATTGTGGATGGCGCTACTTTCGGGATTTTATCATGGCAGTCACTTTTTTAAATTGAAATCGATTTTTTTCTGCAAATAAAAGTTGCAGCCGACAATAAGACGAACGCAACCGTTTTCGATTTTTTCAATTTGGTTCATTTTTGACAAAGTTACAGAGTTTTAAAGTTTTCAAAACTTTTAATTACTTGCCTTCGCAGCAGAAAATTGCAAAAAGTATGCACTTTCGGTACCATGCCGACTTATAAAAATGTCGCGTTATTTTCGCAGAGGTATAAAAAATATGATAATAATAGTTTCTAATGGTTAATCAGAGTAAGAGAAGAAAAAGAAGGAATAGAATTATGATTAGACTGGAGATTATATGAGTTTATAACATAAACTAATATAATAAACACATGCTAAAACATTACCAAAAAGTACACATACTTATACAAAACGAAGTAACAATATTATTATATTAGTTATAGAATATATTCAACATACATTATGCATATTTTTATGGATAATTTCTATATTATTGTACGTCATAAGTGCATAAAATTTGCAGTCCAATTATGATTAATTTTCATTGCTGTTTTTCCACTCAAGCTTCTCTCACCAGTTTTTCACGAGTACTCGGTGTTTCTCATGCTCATCCTCGTTCTCTTTTATTTTATTCTATTTGTCTCTGATAATTGACTGCAATAGGAGAAGAGAAATAATAGCGATTTATTTTTATTACCAGTTATCAACACCGCCCTCTATTCCTCCTTCATTTTCTCTACGCTTTCATTTTATTCGATAGACGGATTCACCGCGATTATTTCTCTCATCTCTCCTGTTTCCTTTCATTACTTTCCTCCTGATTTTGATGTTTCATTAGAATAGGAGGAGAAAAATAATCGACATTAATATTAATCTTGGTTCCTCTGGCCCCTTACACGCACGATCTGTTTCTCCCATTTTTCTTTTGCAGGTGGTGCTACGATCCTCTATCCTGTGTTCACTCATTACTTTCAATCTGTGCTTTTACAGGTATTGTAAATAGAACGAGACAATTAATTGAAATTAATTTCTTTTACGATTGGCATATTTATATTTTATATTAATAATAGGATTGGAATTCAAGATACCAGAGTTGTCGGTAATAACTTTGGCAAATTTCGAATCATTTCATCAATTTTTAGTTAAGTTATAAAAATAAGTAACCAATCAAAAAAATTGTATGTATAATACGTTCCGTTTAAAATATTCGCAGGTTCGAGGCACGTGTTAATGGTAGAATTAAGAACTCAAATTTTGCACGAATATGTTTTTTATAGATTTCAAGAAAAACCATAATATAGATTCATTATAATGGGGAACAGGTTAAGGATTCAGGAAACAACGAGTGGGAACTATTTTTACTTAAACTACAGTTATAAATGATTGAATAGAAAAGCACGGAATTCCTTTCTACGCGTAATACGTTACTTCAACGCATAAATGTAGTAAAAGAGAAGTAAGCGTGCCAGTAAGTTTTTGATCAACAGTTTCTACATAAATTTCGAGTGAAAAGATAGGCATAGAGTGGCAGTTTGCCAATTGTCGGATCGGAAATTGATAAATTCTTAATTATTGGAGCGAGAAGAGCCGTGGAATAAATTTCACGAAATTGATTTCCACAGTCCAGGACAGGTCAATACGCAGGATACTCGAAACGCGTCGGTGCTGAACGAAATAACCACGAACGTTCACCGAAACGAAACTGCTCGCTCGCGCGTTCACGCACAATCCAGTTATTTAATTAGCGAAATGACCGCGTACGATTTTTTTCCTTTCTATTTTTCCCTTCATTTTCCAACCATTCCTCCAACAAACCTCGTCGGTTCTCTTGCGTCACCTTTCCGTCGCTTTTCATTCAATTCCCCCCATGTTTTCAGCTTATCGGTATCGTTAATTCATTTTTTCCCAATTAATTACCAATTGCACTCTCACGCTTTAAGCTCGTTAGTTTCATTATTAATTTAATTCCCTTTTACTCGTATTCTGCTTGCACTGTCAACGCTTTCTCGCTTTTTTCCCTTCGGTATCGATGTTTCATATTTTACCACGTTTGGCACCACCACGATGCTTAACACATTAAACGTTGAGCTTGATTTGCCTGACGTCCCGTTCACGTCGCACTTTACTGCCGAGTAAAAAACTATAGAAGCGAGTAGGAAAATTAGAAGGGTAGTTGAACGACGACTGTAAAAATTTAGGTTTTGAGCTTGGAGCCTTTTTATTTTTGAGCTTCAATCTCGTTCAATGATTCGACACTTATTGTTAGTCAACTGTATGGAGAAAATCACCCCACTTCTTCTTTAACTACACGTTGCCTTTCATTTTGTTTACTTTTTCTGTTTAGAAATTAGTCCATTCCTGAACTGTAGTTGTTCGTGTTAATACTACATATGTATTATTAGATGTTATTAAGTTTTCTAGGTTACGCGTTTGCATACCTTTCTGCATTTGTAAAACATAATTTTTCAATCAAATCTGTTAAATGAGTTCTAATTTAGACAGATTGTCTAATTTAAAAAAATAAGTAGCATTTTGTTTTATTTTTTTCTTTTTGGCAATTACACATTCCTGACCTAGAATTGTCCAAAATTTATCGTATACCTTTCTTCATTTGTAATACACAATTTTTACTCAAATCTATTAAATACGTTTTACTTTGGACAGCGTTTATATCAACTTCGACAACTTTATTTATTTATTACAGACACGAAACTTTTCCTGACTCTCTGCGCCTATATTCTTTTATCGAAATCTTACAATCGGCGCTCTAGCATAAATATATTAGGTTGGCAACTTAGTTCACGCCGTTTTTCCTTTTTTTCAATTTTAAGGTGCAATGAAAAAAAAAACGGCGGGAATTTGTTGCCAACCTAATAAAATGTATAGCCAGTCCACAAGGGCAAACGGAATGCCTGGAATCGTTTAACGTGTTAAACGTACTCGTTCTCACACCGAAATTCTTAGGCCTGTCGAGTTGAGAAGCGATTCTATAGCGAAAAATATATGTATATGTATCTATATAGTTTTATTTATATCAATTACTTTGTTCTGGGGTTCACGGTTCGCTAAAGTCTTAGAGCCATACTTCTAGTCGCCGCTCGAGTCGAAGAATTGATACTCGTTTAGAACTCAATCGATACTCAAACCTCTCATGATTGTTCATAATTTTCCAGTTCACTTTTGAACAGTCTGCGGATTTCTATGCAAAACAAAATAAAATTCTATTTTCATGCACATCCTCGTACACTTTTCCATATTTTTATTTATCATAAATACATAAACATCCGCAGGCTAGTAACGACAAAATTTGGCAAAGCAAGAAATCACATCAAAACGAAATTCTAGTAGGGAATAATTTAAAACTCATTTAAGCCTCCAAATAATAAATTTTGAAATAACTGCCAATTTAAATGGTCAAGTATTAATTTATTAAATAATTTATCTCCTCCAACAGTCTGCTTAAACTTCGTCGAAGCTGCAATTGAAACGTTTTCGACGGAGCAGTGATTCTTCGACTCGGTTAGGCACAAATAAATCGAAGATCGGAATTACTTACATCGTTGAGTCTTCGCATAATATTCGAAACGAAGAATCGATATCGCTGTAACATGAAAATACGTTTTTACTCATCTTGCAACTTCCAAAGAAAATATTTTCGTTGAAGTCCCGCGGAGAAGGGATTAAAAAATGTGGAGCGTTTGCTTGAAACTTTCAGCGAAACGAAACGCTTTCAGGTTGGTTTTGGCAATTTTTCAACTGTATTCTTTAGACGGTGATTTTCTAGGGACATGGTTCGGTTGCTACCAACATCCTGAATGCATCAACCGCGATAAATGATGCACTACGAATTGCATAGGCAGGAACAAACTATCCAAAGACAAAAATTGACCCACTTTGGCATCCAGATATCCAAAGATTTAACGCGTTCTCCTGTGATACATGAAAAATAGATTCAACCTTCTTTATTCTTGGTAGATGGACTAGAGAATATGAGAAACACGAGAAACGAGACGTGGAATTTGAGAAAATTAAAATTTCTCATGTTTGAGTCTGTGGTTACGCTGGAATCGAGTTAATTATTAGATTAACGCATAATCAAATGACGTGTCATGTCAATCCAAATTTCCATAAATTTCAAATTGTTTGTCGGATATGTTCTTTTCGCTATAAAAATAAATAATAAATTGTAAATTATGATAAATACCAAATAATGAATTTAACAAGATAGATTCTTTGGCTTTGGAAAATGTTTCTTACTTATGTTTAAATTATTTCATCCAACTGTCTCCTTCACTGAGCATTTGATGTTTTATAATAGTTGTAACTATGATAATATTATATTTCAATAATTTCTAGTTATGCTTACCAAAACTAAGAAAATTTGATTAGAAAATATATATATATATATAATTTTTATTTGCTTTTTGAATATAACTTATATTCTGTAATAAAACGTTTCTGTAATTAACAAGACATCAAAGAATCTATACTCCTTCGCTCCTTTGCTTTTTCGAAATCGATTTAATGCAACAAACAGTAACGGTGAAATATAAACAATTCATTGTAATATTTAGTCGTCTGGGCTCGTTTGGTAGCTGCTTCGAGAACCTTCAAGTAGGAAGCAACGTTATTCCAAGCAATTACGTTAATTGCATAATTAACGGAACCTAAATCAGGTGTGCAACGTGGTGATCAATAATTCGTCGAAAAAGGACGCGTTTTCCTCTCTGGACACGCTGCGCCGAGAAAATTGGGCCGAGCATGTTTCACGTCGAGGCACTAATCCTAACATTAAGTTTTCACGGCAAGACGCATGGGTAATTAGCTAATGATATGTGAAGGACGTGCTTAATCGTTAATGAGAGGGGTGCGTTGGACGCTGTTATAGCGTATACGGCCCTGCACTTACTCGCGTAATCTCTCGCGAAGAACGCCACGAATCGCTCGTCGTTAGGACATTGTACATTACGTTCCTGGAAAGTTCTCCAAACACTCTTTCGCGTGGCGTTTTGATCGATAGAAGAGAAAAAAAAACATATTATACAGAACGTCCCAGAATTAGTATAAGAACCGGAAATGGGGGATCGTTGACACGATTCTGAACAACAATTTCCTTTGCAAAAATATCGGATGGTGCTTCGTTTTTGAATTATTAACAAAAAACCACCGGCCAATCACAGTGCTCGAGTAGCGCGCGCTATCCCGAGCGTCCTGGCTCGAGCTTATCCTCGCGACTCAGCGCGCGCTACTCGAGCACTGTGATTGGTCGGTGGTTTTTCGTTAATAATTCAAAAACGAAGCACCATACGATATTTTTGCAAAGGATATTTGCATAGTTATTGAAACAGGTAAACTTCGAGCAACTTTGTCCGAATATTAATAATCCAGAAAAAATAGGTTATGCAAATTGAGTTGGGCATGCAAGAGAAGTTACACGAACTCCTTATTTCGATTGAATATTAAATTCAAAAACTTCTTTTACAGGTTATTCGGTTTGGTGCACAAAAATAAATATGGCTGCTGATTGATGTTAAGTGCGACTGAATTTTAAATTGTCACAATAAATTCACTTGTAATAGAGAATAAGAATTGCAGTTTACGTTTAATACATTTGGAGAGGGGTATGTTATTGATATATTGGATTGGTTAATAGTAAAATTGTATCGGTTCGGAAAAGGAAAATAATAGTAAAGAGTCAAGAGAATAAAATGAAATAAACAAATCATGATAAATTATAATTTTATTGTTTCCAGGTATCAATATGCCGATAACATTAACAAAGAGCTAACGTTGTAATTTATTTTTCATGTTGAAAATCATAATTTGTGTAAGAGCAAATATAATATTGTTGGCCCTTAAAACAAATACATATCATTTATTTTTTCTGAATGTGTCGCCGATTGGACCAATAAAAGATGGTCTTCTTTAGGTGTATAGCAATATGTTACGAAATTCCTAAAAAATAATGAAAAAATTAATGCAACAAATATTCCGAATTGCTGCCACACGAGTGGAGTGAACAGAGCTTTCCAGTAGACCCTTAGGTAGTACACGGCTTAGGTTTAGTTTGGAAGTGTTATGCTTGCACCCTAGACAGATTTTTTTTAGGTTTTTGGCACGAACGGAGCACCTACTATTTAGGAGTTCCTGTCGAGTGGGTCAACATAGCTTTAATGCAAGAAATAATGAGAGTAAATGCAAGAAATAATTCTAAGCAATAACGTTAATTGCACAATGAAAGGAACCTTACTCAGTTGTGTAACATGGTGCTCCTTAAAAATGAATTTTGTTTAGCCAAAAGTGGGACATAAAAGTGAGTGATTCTCGAACGGCAATGGTTCGAATCCTAAGAAGGAGCTTAGAGGATCGAGACGACGAGCGACGTCGCGGCATCGATCGCGAGTCGTTGAGCCTTCCGACGAAGCCTGCAAGGGACGCCAAGTCCCCAGACAACGTCACTTGGTAGAAAATATGTTCGCTTTTCTCGCTTTAATCAAAATACCGAATTCTTTCTCTGTTCTCTTCGTTTAGTGTGTGCACGCGCTGTGACACGGATGATCGAACACTCGATGCTTTAGCTACGAAAAGATCTATCGGATAGAATCGACTCTCGCTATATGATATATTTATATAGGTGATATGTACGAAATGGAAGATTCACGTTTCAGCGTTTCGTTCGGCCGCGAGACGAGATTAAACTGTTCCGCTTCTCTGTCGATAAGCTCGTTCAATTCCTTTTACTTGGTTCTGCTTCTCCTAACGCCGATAGTCTCCCCCAGATTTCGAGGATCGCGGAGAGCAGTCGACTTCTCGAGTCAAGTGCAGAGTTTCACGGCTCAGAAATCCTGGAAACTTTATTTTAGTATCTTTCCCTGTCCTGTTCAAAATTTCACAACTCGAAGTTTGCATCAAGTTCCGGAGGAACTTTGGCTGCTACGTTGTCTGTTAGGATTCATCGCGTGGGATCTATCGAGGGTCGTCTAGAACGTGGCGCGAGTTAGGCTGGGTTAGGTCGAGCCGAACCTTACACTCGACCGAGATTAGGCCAGACGTAGCTCTGATTAGGTCTCGTTTAGGCCCACGTAGCTCTGTGATAGATTTGGACGAGACTTGCAATTCTCGCGAACCAAGTTTCATCGAAATTCTTCTTAAGGGAGCAGCCTGGTAATTGAAGATTGAAGATTCATATTTTTTTTTTTTTAAAGTACATGATCTTGAGTATATATCCTCCCAATTCATTATAAAATTGTATCGAATACTACAGTGTGTTGGTCAATCGAAAGTTCCATAATTACTAAATTGTTTGTCAGATGTGCTCTTTTCGCTATAAAAATAAATAATAAATGATAAATCGAAATAATGAATTTAACAGCATAGATTCTTTGGATTTGGAAAACATTTTTTTTACATATTTTTTGGAAATATGTCGTCTTCAGTATGCATCCTGTCATTTCATTTCAATATTGTACCGGATATTATGGTTTGACGTACTAACTGAATTTTAGTTTAACTTTTAATAGAGAATTTACTTCTTTTAAATTATATCGCAGTAAAAAAAAATTACAATAATAATTTGAATATATGTATAAAGTGTTCTCAAAGTTTCGATAGATTATATACATTCCTTTCTTGGGAAAAAAGTTCATACGTATCATTAAAAAATTTAGCCCTGAACCTATTTCACCCCTTAAGTGTGAGTGAGTGAGCCTTGTGTGTCCACGTTCAGTTCTAAGTTTATTTAGCACTTCGTTCGTAAGCAATATGTAACCCTATCGAAAAAGCGCCAGACTGCCCTCTCAACTTGGAATGGTTTTCGTTTTTCCCAAATCTCCATCTCGTCTCGCGAGAAACGATCGCCGATCATTCTCACAGCGCTTCTGTTGTGACCCAGAAATCGCCAGACGGCCCTTTAACGATACATTTATGATTAATCTTAATCGTTACTGTGTCTAAATGTCACCGTGTACCTACGTCACGGAGCAAAATTACACGGGTGCCTTAATTGTCTTACTTCTACGTCAACCTGTTTGACGTCACACGTAATTAGATATACAGCTGTATGTATATTTATATTCATATGTATATAGATTCATGTGTACATATATATTTTTATATATATGTATATATATATATATATATGAATATGTGTATATATATATATATATATACATATATAATATGTATACGTATATTTACATCGCTTAATGGTACATCCCTTAAGTGTCTATTTTGTTTGTAATGTGGTTACGATTAATTCACGAGGTGCCATTTCTTTTTCACTTATGTTTTATTCTACCTCCCGTGACCTTTGGCAGCCGTGCAACGAAACTGAAAAATCTCTCTCGTCCCCTCGCCACAGCTCTGTTTAATCCCCGCCGCTGCGTTTTCACCGGTGCGCGAAAACTTTTCTGCTCTGTAAATGGCGCAAAAAAAAAAAGGAGTCAAACAAATGGAACGAAATTTTTTTTCACCGTCACGCTAATATGTGTATGCATTTTAACCCCCCGAGGGTTCTTCCTTTGTCTTTATCGCGCGTAAAAGGGTCGTTGAGAAATACGAAAGAAGAAGGTATGGAATCTAATCGAATGAAAGTGTATCGTTCCAAGAAGATCGAATTATCGTTGAACGCTGCGTCGCACCATTCGCTTTCGCTCGAATTTTCGAGGGTTGTTCGAAATTTGACCTGGACTCCTTTCCCCTAAATGGACTCTAAGATCGTTATCGTCATCTTTGAACTCTTTCTACCTAAAAACGACAGATTACTCCCGACCGGTAGTACTTTCTCTAATTTTTTTTTTTTTTTTTTTTTGGCTCTTTTAAATACGTATTTTCTAGTAATTTAATTTATCTACTTTAAAGATTTATTTCATCGACGGTATTGTCATGTTAACTGTGCCCATCTCGAAAGTCCAGATCAAAAGTAGTTTTCTTTTTTTTGTTTCTTACGTCCCTGGTCCTCGCGTTGAAGATTGATTTCCCCTGAAACGATCAAGTGGATCGCGGTGCCGACCCTTCGAGCGCCAAATCAATCGCAGAGTTCCATATTGGCCAAATTTATTTTTCTTACCGACATCGAGTCGGAATTGACTTTTTTAACGGGGGAAATCTTTTATAGATATTCGCGGCCTTTTGGAGAAGCTCAGTCGCGCAATAGTTCTACTGTTTGGTAATAAGGGCGCTCAAAGGGTTCGAAAATGTTTTAATCGGGGTCTCGCGACTCGTGGGAGGAGAAGAAGGGTGGCACGGACAGAGAAATATTTTTCAAGGATTCCTCTCGCGTTCGATTCGCGAAGATCGACTCGACGGAGTCACCTTTCCCGCGGGTGAATATCTAAACAAACGCAAACCGCTCTATCGCTCTAGTTCTAGTAATAGTTGCTCCGCTAAGAATGGAACTCGGATCCATGGACCATCGAGAACAGATCGATCAGTTTGAAGCACCGATTCAAAGAAATTCTCAGATTCTTGGATCATCGAGAACAGATCGAACAGTTCGAAGCACCGATTCGGAGAAATTCTCAGATTCTTGGATCATCGAGAACAGATCGAACAGTTCGAAGCACCGATTCGGAGAAAAATGAAAGACCCGATAGGGGTTTTGAAAAGCAAGCGCGATCGTTCCAGGTCGCCGTCTTTCATCGCGAAAACCTCGATGTCCTCGACGATAGGGATCCCTCCATCGTCGGACCGAGGTTCTAGTGAACTTCAGAGAACGTCACGGAGGGACAGGAAATTTATTTACAACGATCCAGGAGCCCGAAAGGACACCAGAGAGGCGAGTTTGTCCAATTTCGCGGGCCAGACAAGCGGACCGTGAATTCCTCGGGTAACTGACACGATCCGTCGTCTTTCCTCTTCTTCCTTTTACATCTCGGCGAGCAAGTGGTACTCTCTGTACTCGATGACGCCATCTCGAGCCGCGAGAACGCCAGTCTGCACTTAACCTGCTAAATTTTCGAGGGCGTTCTCTATGAATCCTTAAGCTAGTTTCGAGAAGTTACCACTCGACGTGATGACGATTCTTGTTACGCGTCATTTCTCTCGGATCGGTTGATTGCTTTAATGGATGGTGGCTATAGGTCCTTGTCGATAACGGTAAATTCTGTGTAATTCGGAGGTCTTCTAACATATTACTGTGTACTGATAGATATCATGAGACATGAGCTGCTTCTTCTATGGAGTTCTCTTTAAACTTTAGAATGTTTCATTGCCTCTACGTTCAATTCAGCTGATGTGTCGAACAAGAGGGAACCAAAAGAATTTTTATTTCATACCAAGAGATCTTCTTTTCTGAAGAATCACACAGCATGCCCAGAAAAGCGATGATTACTAAAGTCTGACGAAGAAATCCATTTCCTGGATCCTCTGTCTCGCGTTAGGCACACTCCAATTCGCAAACTAGTCTCGAGTTGTCAAAGAACTCCACTGCTCGGCGGGTCGTCCGCAATCCCCAGTCAGTCAATTCCAGATCGAAACTCGTGGCAAGTCGTTTCGCAACTTTGCTTAGACGTTTAAAACTCGCCAATCTCTGTGCACGTAACTTGTGGCTGATTTGGGAATGGATTACGAGGTAGACGAGCGGCTGGAAAGGGTTGGTGCTCCCGGAAACGTCTGAAAACTAACGCTGTCGACTTCCTGGAAGCAATCCAAGGGATTCGGGATCACGTTCTTATGTAAAACGGGCACTTGTTGCGTTTTACTAATGAAACTTTTGTCATGTGGGCATCGATCGCACGAACAGGTGGTTAAGAGCGGGTATCGACTCCTGGAGCGAGTCCCAGCTTCAACTGTTGTGAAACGCACGTTTCCCTCTCGGCGCTCTATCGATCGCTACGGATACTCTATTATTTACTCGCATCGGATCGCAACGCGTTATCATTCTCGAATCGAATGCCTGTAGTTTCCTCATTTTCATTCGAATTTCTCCTCCGACTGTATTTCGAACGAACGACCTAGCGTTACTTTCGGATGTAGATGCGCTAGCCTATTCAGAAAGTTCCAGGTCATGCTCGTTTACAAGAAACAGCGAGATGTGTGTTTATTCGATTTGAGCAAAAGAATATGAAATAATTGAAGATGAAAAAACTAAGAATCCATTTGATTTCTCCTTTGTTGTAGAAAATAGCGAGAACTTTTACGTAAAGCTTAATCCTCTTTAAGATTTATGAAAAACATTTTGAAAACGTTAATAAACAACGAATATGTACCGAAGAAATTAAAGAATTACAAAAGTTATTTATGGATTAATTTCGCTCAAAATTGAATCAGACCTTATTATGAGAATTTAAAACTGAAATATTATTAGTCGCTGTCGCAATCTCGTTCGTTCACTTATTAAAATATTAAATTTAAATGGAATTAAACGTAGCAAGAGGTAGCAGTTGAAATAAATTTAAAATATTTAAATTGAAAAATTAGATTTTCTTTGAAAAATGTCACAAACTTTCCAGACCACCGTGGAATATTTTGAAGCACGAGAAAAACGTTGGCGTAAGCGTGTAGCATGCAACGGGAATTATTTCGAAGGTGACCAATCGTAAATTGATGATTATACAAGTAGTTTGTTTTTTATTTAACATGCCCCGGAACTTTTTGAACGAGTTAATAGATTCTCCCGATTTATTGTTCTCGTAATCGCAAGGCAACCAACCAACCATTCGTTCCCGTCGGTCTGCTGGTTCGAGTTCAAGACCTAGAATCCACTGGAACGATTGTCGTCTCGCTGGAAAATCGATATAGCCCTCCTCCCGTCCCTAGGAAGGTCGGGTCTCCTCCGTCGAGACGTCGCGACGCGTCGTGCCGAGAGGATCGTGCGACGTCCGACTCGTTAACCTGTCCGTGTTTTTGCGACTACAGTCACCGTCGTTCATCAATCTTTTAACCCTCCTGTCTCCCCCCCCCCCACCCCCCCCCTGCGAGTCGAATCCTGGCCTCCCACGGTTCGCTCTATTAAATCTGTTCCGTCGTAACGATGAACAGGGGATGTCCCGTTAACGTTTCACGGAAAAGAGGAGAAACCGACGACGACGACAACTCCTGTGTTTAATCCCTCGTTAAGTCCTCGTCTGGTCTGTATCCGGGAATCGGTAGTCCTGTTTTATTTTGTTAAGGAGTGAAAGTAACGTTCGACGGCGACGGGGTTCGGCGAATCCATCGATCCATCAGCGATTAGCCGCGAGTGTTAACCGTTTGACGAGATCTCGGACCGCGAAACGAACCCTCGATTCCTTTGTGGCTGTTCGAACAATGGGATCGTCGGCTTCCGGAGGGGTCGATCGATACGGATCCGTTTACATCTTACGGTTTAAATCACTCTCGAAACCACCAAGATCGACGACAGACCCGTGATCAGCAGAGAGTTGCGTAGATCCTTCGATCCCGCTGACACGCTCGAGGCTATCGCGCTGTTGCATGCCTCTGGCGCAGGATCTGGAACATACGGAAAATGGCTATTTATGGTATTCATCGGGGTAGTATTACGATGATTCTAATTGTTTTGGTGTTATGAATTCTGTGATTGTTGTGAATTTTAGGATTCAATTTTCGTTTTAATTGTGGCGATTAATGTGATTGTTGTGACTGTTCCAATTCTTGTGAATTGTGTAATTATTACGATTTTGCAACAGCTGCGACAGTTGTAAATGTTGCGATTGTATAATATAATATAATACTCGTATGATTTTTTCTCTACAAATAAATAGTAAGTTTGCTTTACAAAAGTCACAAAACTAATCTCAGCACCTCGCGCATACATTAAACGAATATTTCGCAGAAAATTCAATAGTACTAATTGTTTGATTATACGTAGGTCATAGGTGGCTTTAGAGTTCCAAAGATAAAATAATTTTGCCAGACTGAGAATCGAAGCGCAAGAAACTCTGATAACAACACGGAGCCACGCAAATCTGGCCGAAAACAGAGAGTAGGTATTCGTTTCGCGCTCATTTCGAGCGGGCGAAAGTATTCGAACGCCCGGAATCATCGTTCCACCGTGCCACGCTCGTCCCTACAGCCCCTGATTTTTCATTTCCCTTTGACGCGGCTCAAATCCACTGACAAACCCAGAACAAAAAGTAAACGAAACGGAAGAACGAGTTTTCACAGACGTTCTTTGTAATCTCTGCTCACAAGGCGGTTGGAATTTGCGCGAAATTGCGTCACGTTGGGAAGAAGGATAGAAAGAACGCCGCGATCTCTCGAAGGATAACGAGTTTCCGGTTCTTCTGGCTCTCTCTCTTTCTCTCTCTCTCTCTCTCTCTCTCTCTCTCTCTCTCTCTCTCTCTCTCACTCTCTGTCAGAAGCTCCGGGTCGCTTTTCTAATTTCCACGGGGCCGAGTTTGCGGGTAATCGAGCTTCCTTTCAGCCGTGTTGCTTGTTTTTCGAACTACGCGGACAAATATTTGCCTGCAGCAAGTTTGATCCAGGCCAAAACGCTAAGCGTTCCGACATCTGCGAGAAATAACAAGGAAGTGCGTTAGAGGGTTAACGAAGAGAGAAGTTTGCGTTTGAAATCAAGAAGCAGCACGCTAGTTCAGCGTCCAGCCTCGTTAAAATCAACGTCGATCGTTCCCCCAAGATTAACAGGTTGCTAGTTCGCTGTTAAGACCTGGATGGAGCGTAGAATAGTGCAAACCGTTCTGGTTTGCTAGTACGCGGATCGTCGAGTTGCCATAACTCTTGTGTGCACGGGTCGGGGCTCGCAAATCTAGCATATTTAGTTTAATGCCCCTACCTAACCAGGGTAGCAAAGCGCGATACTAAGCGAGCCACATGTTTCGAGGTCATAGAAACACGTTTCGAGAAACAGGTGATGCGGTGTGTGCAAGCTAGGTACTGCGAGAGCTATTCGCTGTTTTTGATTCTTTGCAGAGAAACTTTTTGTGGGGAAAAAAAGAAAAAAATTACAATGGTCGAAATTTGAAAAATTTAAGTTTGTTTTTCGAAAAATCAAAACATTTTATAGAAGACGTGTTCAAATATTTTGTTTTGTATTTGTTTCGTAAATTTCGTTAAAAAACGCACATTTAAAAAAAAAAAAGAACGTCTGATGTGGTCATATTTTAGCAGAGCTGTAGCTATTTGAAAAGAAAACATTTTTTTTTTTAAATTCATAACTTTTTTTGGTTTAGTACAAAAATCTGCAAAAATGCACAAAAAGATATTCAGTAGGATACTATAATGTAAAAATATTTCAGCTAAATAAAAAATGTAGAAATTCTGCGTACATAGAACATTCTTGAAGGGTAAAATGGAAATAAGAAAAATAAGTATAAAATGCAGACGATACGTACGATCTAAATCAGCGATTAGTTTTGCCACAAACTAGTACGTAAGATATACATAAGTATCTATGCAAATTTTCAGACTAATATCTGAAATAGTTTCCACGGTATAAGATTTCAAATCATTCTGGGTTCGCAGTTCCCATATTAGACTTCCCTTTAAGAACTGAAGATCGATGATGCGCGACTCACGCGATCCTGATTTATGTCGAAGCCCCTGAGGCACGACGTACGCCGTTTACCGGTTTTTCGATGCACGTTTCGGAAATTGTTATCACCAGAAGAAGCCAGCGAGCCGGCAATTTGGATCCGATTAAAGGGGAATTAAATGTCTTGTTAATTAATGCCAACGGGAAATTGGTGGCTACTGGGACGCTCTAATGGCTCGGCTAATTTAAGGTTCACCAGCGAAAGTGAAATTGTGAATCATGTTAACCATAAGGATGTTTAGGAGATTTATTAAAATAGTCGGTATTTACTTAAAAAATTCTGGATTATTTTAACGAGTTTCCGAAGGTCCTTCAAAAAGTTTGGAGTCGTTTTACTAAGCCGTTTGAAAGTTGTAACAGTTTCTATGGATAAAAAATTTGCATCAAGTTAAATTGAAAACATGCTATTAAAACACATAGCTAGAATTATCTATAGATTTATAAATTAAAAGGCGTTTACAATGGCAATAGTTTTTTATTAATGATTATAAAGTAGAAAATTGACATTAAAAACAAGATTATAACTATAAATTTGTTCATTTAAGTGCCGTAATTACGAAGATATTCGACTAATTCAAATTTCATATACATTTGTCTCTGATTGTATCTCCCATACATTCTTGACCATTAATTCAAATAGAGAAATAGTATTTAAAAAATAGCAAGAATAATCTATGGATTTATAAACTAGTAGATTAAGTAGCTAAAAAATCCCCGATTTTTTTATAACCTAACAAGACGGAAATAGCAGTCCTGGTTGTCGACAACTGTCGAATGGTTTTCAGCTTTTAAGTCAGGGGAAGCGGTTCACGGTTCGATTCGACAGTGATCGATGGAGGTACCTTTAGCAGTGGATTCGGTCGTTTTGCGGTCAGACAACTTCTATAGGATCCGCCAACGAATTTGTAAAGAAGACAGCTACGCTATATTTGCTTTTCCAATATTAATCTGGGAATTTCGCGTGCCTCGAGCTCTCTGCGGTCAAGCTATTTCTCTGGGTGATCAATTCTCAAAAAGAGCAGCCTAAATCGAGTGGCCCCAAGTGTCGATGCAACAATTGCATTTGCAGACATTTCCAACATTTTCTGGACCAGTCACCCTGTCCAATCTCAGATGCAGTTTTCAGTGTGTAAAATCTTACGACACTTGATAGTTTCCATTCAAATCTAGTATTTGATATAGTAACTTTTATTTGAAGAAAGCTTTTATGAATTTTCATATTTTTATAGTTATTGTTCGAATTTTCACCACATATGTAGTTTAGCTTTTTTTTTTGTAGAAATATGTAGTTAGATATGAATTAAACAGTATTCCTTTGTATGTCAGGTCTGTATATTGTAATATATATTTAGTAGGATGACTCTCAGAATATTATCAAAAGCTCCACTGATGTCGAGCTTAATAAGTAAAACGGTTATCTTAAATTGATGCTTGTTAAATCGAGCCAATATTTGCTAATGTAGTAAGCAGGCCAATACACCCTCTGTCCCATAATTAGTAACTAAACTAATTAGAAAATCTTAACACAATCATTTTGTTTATTCAAAATATTCTCCCTCATCCGAAATACAATGATCTGCACGTTCAAAAAGTGCATCAAATGACTTTTTCCTAGCGTTAGAAATGGTAACAAGTGGTTGGTGCATTTCTTTAACTATACGAAGTCATCCTGTAGTTTCTAGTACTATCAAAAAAAAAAGGAAAACATGTCCAACAAATTGAACCATCGATTCGACGTGGGAAGGCATTTTTCTGGAGAATACAAGCGAAGCTTGGAAGAGTACACGCAGTTCGTTTCGACCAAACAATAGGTTTAATCCGAATTGATCACGAATAAACGAAAGCAGGGAATTATGCAAGGGGGATGTGAAACGAGTCCACGCGTGCTGGAACGCGTCACGCCAAAACAATAGCGGTCGGAATAATGAAACACGGAAAGCCTGGTATGAAAAATCTCCCGGATATCGATTGGCGGAGCTCGCGCTATTTATCGAAGCTCTGCCTCGAAATTGCGACAGACAATTTCTGGGCGAGGCATCGATCTTTGCCGCTATCCTTAAACTAAGACCCGCGAAGATGTCTGACGAAACGATGAAAAATTCTTCTGAACCTAAGTGGAAGTGAACGTATAAGAGCCACCAAAAGATATATAGGGTGTTTCATTTAAATCGGAATGGTTATCTCTCCATGCAAATACTGTCTGAGTAGGTTTGGGATAGCATTTTGTGGTGGCAGCGACATTGAATAGCGTTAATGTACGTATGATGTCTAAAATAGATATAACGATAGCAATAATTTAAGGTCATATTTTTTGTTCCTCCGACACAAAGTTTAAACCAAGTTTGATCATTTTGAATGTAAGTAATATTTAATTTTGCGCCGCCTCAGAAAGGGGAATTTAATATAATTTAATATAAAAGAAATAGAAATTATTTTACACTCTTCGGTGCAGTTTTAACATTTTTTAAAGTCGTTGGGCATATTCTTTTTCCAAAAATTAATTTATCTCTATAATCCTATAACCATCCTAATTTCATTGCTTTGAAGCTGGTCGAACATATTTACAAATAACAAATGGCTACGGCAGCATCAAACGTCATCACCCAGTATGATACCACTCTCGAAATGTAAAATTGCGGACCATAGAAATGTGATGAATTTCCCTGAAAAGGAACAAGGTTAAAAATGCATCAAAGAAGATGGCAAAGAGCCTCGGAGAAACGAACACGAAAAGGGTAAAGGTAGCAGGAATAATTAACACAGGAAGGAAGGTAGCAGCACCCATTTCTGGTTCTCTAAAGGAGTTCCCTCCATAACTAACTAAACGAAAAACGAGAGAGAGAGGAATTCCGGGACGGTTGAAACGCGTTGAATTAGCGGTGAGTACGTACCTGGTATTCCGTTCAGCCTTGGCAGAAACTCGTTCCAGAAGGCACACGACGTGGTGCGCGGACCTTTGCCCAGCTCGATCTTCTCGGCGTCGAAAATAAAATACTGTGGTTCATCCCTCGAATAGGGCGGCCACTTGGACTCCTCGCTCGTCGGCTTCCTGGAAAAATAATTCACGAGCTAACAGGAAATGTCAGGCCCTAGTCGCGCGTCTTCCTACAAGGAGACGTCTCGACGACTGGGAAACACGACGTGGACGAGATTGGATGCAAGAAACCTTTGGAAATGTACACCACTTCTTTCTTATACAGTTCCAATACTTTACACGATATTTAAGGAGGGAGATCAGAATGCTGAAAATGCGACATTTCTTTACGAATTGTTTAAAAAAATAATTTATCACGTGGATCTTTGTGATACTTACACGGTATTTTATTGGTTATTTGGTGATAATAAATAATTTTTTTCCCCAGACAAAATTGTACGTAAAAAACATTGTACGTGTGGACATGTTCGTAGACCCTCCTCATCGAAATTACAAATTCGTTTCGTGTGTCACTGCTAAATGTGATCATTTCAAATAATTCTGTTAGTTATAAATTTCACGAATAAAGTATGAATACGAGGATAACATTCACAAGGATAACGTTCCTTGGACTTCAAGAGCAGACGAATAATTTTAACAGTAAGCCAAACACTCGTAACGGAATTTATGGCAGGACTAGATACACTTTCATTAAAATAACATACCCTAGGCATTCGGGAAGGTAGAAGATCATGACAAATGATTCTCAATGACGCATGCCTTTAAAATATAAACGAACGTCCCACTGGTGGATAGGAGTTCTCCAATAAGTGGCTACCCCTTAGTGGAAAAAGAAATTGCAGCTAGTTAATAGATTATACCTGGCCAACACATGACATATCGAGCTCTATCTATCGATGTCGATAAATAATTCTTCACTTTCCATGTAACCTGGATTGAAAACCCAGACGGGACATCCTCCCCGAAGGATTGTTAATGTTGTATTGTTTGGCCACTATAGCTAACGTTTGCACAGAACTGATCCACCAGCTGACATCGCGCACGTGTTTATTATGAAAGTATGAACACACAAAATTGGATTATTTATGAAAGTAGAAATTATTCAATTGGAAGGTACTTATAATAGTAGAAATGTTGAAGTTGAAGTTATTCAGGCAATTTATAATAATTTGCATTTACAATAATAATAATTTGTGCAGGTACGTTTGCAAAGATTTTGTTTTGTCTACTAATTAAAAATAAGAGCACCTGTACGTTTAAATGTATCCCCTTTTGAAATATTTAATTATACATATATTACCACTAGAAAAAAGCGTTAAGTACAGTTACGTTGAATGGTAACTCTCCTAGTTGAAATATTATCCGCCTAGCGATTAACTAGGCCAACATTATCGTCCTCCTTCTCTTTACAGAACCTAACTTTCAAAATTCTTCTCGAGGAGCCTTAAACGTTTTAAAAGCATTCCCTTTGTGCAAGTCAAATTTGTCACACGGATCTCTCTCTTCTAGATAGACCATTGTTCCTCCAACAAAATGTTCGAGGACCATATCAACCGTATTCTACCCCAAACGAGGATAGTCTTGAATACGAAATCCAATAATTTCGAGCTACCGTCCCCTCGGATGGAGACGGTTTTAAATAATGGAGGGAGAATCGACGGCTGCCAGACAATCCTGTGGAGTTTTGGAAAAATGACACCACATTGCTGAATTTTACGTTAAATGTATAATTTAAATTTACGTTCGGGTTGGCTCACCTAAACCAGAATATTTCTGCCAATCGTGAAGACACAAAAAATATTTTATATGCAATTTCAATTATATGAAGGGGCCAATATTCCACTTGTACATTTTTTTATATATTCACTGGCCATAAATGCATAAACATTCGCAGTAAAATGATAAGTAGACTGTGAATTTTATGCAATTTTGACGAACAATAATATGGAAAACATACATCTAATATATATGATGCACGTTAAACATTTTTACAATTGTTATCATAATATTGTTATTTCATTTTGCGTAAGTGAGCTTGATACCTTTTGGTAATACAGTTATTCGAAAACAAAATTAATATCAATTCATTTGTGATGATAGCTATTTCAAAATAACGAATTATTTTGACATTTTCAATTTGACAATTTATTTTAAGAAATCGTTACAATAATTTGCTTTGTGCAAAATTGTTTCTTCGAGAAGTTTGAATAACAAACGTGGAATTATTTGTCGTTTAATTTTCATCGCTTTTAAATTAAAAACCGTCATGTACTTGTGATGTCACCTGATAGTATTTTGAAGAACAATTTCGCAATAAATTCAAGCAACTATTTCAAAGAATTATGAAATAGAATAACGTGTTACTTGGAGTAGTATTTTAAATAATGTTATTTTAAAACGAAAATGAAAGCTTCTAAAGCCATTGTCCTGACATGAATCGAAATAACTGAATCCTCAGAAATGGCATAAACGTACCAATGAATTTTTCATGCTTAATATTCCTCATTGCGAAACATGAATTTCATGAAATTCAAGGAATAAACTCACCCCGTGTAAGCGAACTGAGAGAAGTAAAGTATCATCCTACGGGACAGGTCTCTTTCCTTCTCGGTGTATTGCAAGGACGTGTTCAAAGGATGGCCAAACACGTATTCCACCTCGTCGCCGTGTATCACACCCATCCACTCGCCCCACAGGTTGGTGCTCGTTCTCTGAAACACAGTTAACGTCGGTTATGCTTGCGTTAAACGCTCGTTCGAATATATTCCTCCGGCTGTCCGCATGCATCACCTCCTTTCGCTGACCCCATAGATCGACTCTCGCATTCGCCCCTATCCCTCTGACAAGATATCAGTTGTTATTAACGCCTGCTACTACCGGCACTTTGTCAATTTTCATTTGATCGGCGTCGTTTCGCAACTATGCCACGGTGTTTCATGGTAAAACGAAATTTTTGTGGCCAGCCAGCCTTAATTTGGTACAGTTCTTATTTTTCATACATTATCGTATAACTTGTCTTGTTTGTGTTGTCATATTGTCGCATTGACGATCGAGAAGTGTGTGTAATATATTGGAGACTTGGGTGAACGGCTACTCAAGAACAAACACCATTCAAACGGTAAAACAGTAAACACAAATATACTAAGATATAAAAAAGTTTATACTATAATATATAGAGAGTAAAACATTTAGATTCAATTTTTATCTAATTATATAATACATAATAATTTTTGCTGTCTACGTATAAGCCTCCATCTGTAGAAAAACCATTTGTATCAAATTATGTATCACTTTAAGCTTTACAATTTTTCTGCAAAACAATTTCGCGTGAAAATTGAAATGACGAAGACATTGAGGTGACATCGGTGTTCGTGGGACACATTGTATAAGTGTGGTAGATTTTTCTGACCTACATAACCGGATGGCTGAACCGAAAGGAGACACAGGAGCGACTGTGTCAGGTTCAAGGAAGCGAGCGCGATACTTATTATGGCTCGAGGCACGATCGTAGAGCGCCCGGGAGCGGCTCAAATTATTCAAATATGGTGGCTGAGCCGAAGAACGTAGTCTTTACAGGATCAACGAAGCGTCAGCAACCTATAGAGTCCATCGAGCCTTTATGTCTCAGGACTTGCCTCCCATTATGGTTATCGTCGCAATTCAGTTTCTGTGCTCTAGACTAGGGAAAATTGCGGCCAGAGACTGGAGTAGTCGAAAATTGTACGTTTGTCCTTGCGAATGTAGTTGCTCGTCGATGCATAACAGAAATTACTCGACGCTTTCCTGTTTTCTCTTGTCAACATTTGAATAATTCTGTAGACTACTTCAAATGACTTATGCTAATCTTTTTGGGGCTATGAAGCAATAACGAAATGTTATAAATGTTTTATAGTTAGATGGAGGTTCAGGGTGGTTCTTAAAAGTGTGATTCTCGAATTTTAACACGTTGATTACTACGCTACCCAGAAATGGACGACAGAGCTTTTGTGAGATGGGAAGTAACTATGAATTGAGATGGAAAGTTGACATTTTTAGGAAATTCGTTTCTAGATATTTCGAAGCATTTAAGAATCTGAAACGATTAAAATTCGAAAGAGCCACTCTACTGTAGGCTGTCAGATCATACTCCAACAACGATCGTTCCTGGCAGCAACTACCTCGTGACGCCTGGGGAAATTCAATCTCACCGATTACAATTTTCCATCAACCACTTGCGTAGTTGATACGCATCGACCAATCGTGCCCTCTTCCAATTAATTTTCAATCCCTCGCACGCTGGCCACACCTGCGTGCACAGAAATTGATCGGGTACGAAAAAAAATTAGCTATCCCGGAGCTTGTAGCTATCATCCCTGGATTAGTCCTAACCGGATGTTCACTTTCTCGTGATAGTTACTGGGTCGCTTAAGGGGATACGCCACTTTGGATGTTTCAAAATAACGAATTTTACTTTAGAGCGATGCCATTCGATTAAAAATGTATATTTTTAAAAACGACTACGTATTTTACTAACTTTTGGACCAAGGGAACTAATTAATTTTGTTTCACTGTTCCAGCTTGAACCTGGTTTCAGTTATCGTGCCCACCGCGTAACCATTTATTTTTTAGACGCTCCACTAAATCGTCTGCCAAGCCGCCATTTTTGTAAAAAGGCAAAAATTAAAAATGATTTTCTAGTTTAATATTTACACGATACAATTGTAGTGTCCGCGCCTCCCATACCCAACAATAAGGAGTCAAATAAGAACACGAAACGTAGGGTATGGGATTGGTCGCGTAGGTAAAGCGGTCGACTGTGGATCCGAGGATCGTGGATTCGAATCCCCGTGCCTTATTTTTCGTTAGACTCCTACACAATAAAAAAATTTCTTGGAAAAGCCTGAAAATTCGGGTAGGTAAAATGGTGTTACCCCTTATGGATACATTCTAGTCTGAACGTTAAAAAAGTTAGGATTCTTTCGGAATTGAACCGAGGTTTGAAACATAATTGTTTGAAATGAATGTTTATAGTGAATGCTTTAATGAAGTATATTATCTGTTAGTCACTGTGTCAGGGATTGTCCTGAAATAAGTGAAGTAGCACACTCGTATATCGTCCATCGCTGATTTTTGTGCAAGTACAAACACAGAAAATTCGCATTTGCAAATACTGGGGATTTAAATAACGTCGCAGTCGTGCCGCAGTATTTGCCCACCCTTATCGAGTATATCTCGTTCTCGACAAATAGCGAAGCTGCCATTACCGTTCGGAACACAGCGGGCCGTTTTGATAAAATGGAAAAATATGGAAAATGAAACCAAGCAGAAATGGAAATCCAGGGTGTTTTGATGGCTTCCGACAAAGTTCATCAAATGAAATTAGTCGAGATTCAGGATTTCTCCTTTCAAGCCGAATTTCGATCGAATTGTACGAAACGTTCTAAAATTAATCTCTCGCGCGAGATTAATTTAGGCGACAGCCTAATTGATTCTCCGTTCGAAGCATCTGGTCCTGCGTGATTGCGACGAAAAATCGATCGTTCCAGTTCTTATTGCGAAGAAGGCGGTAATTGTTACGAGGAACTACGGATTATTTTTAGTCGAGATAAATGCAGTTGTCGGAACGTTACGTTTCAAAGTATCAATTTACCACAACACGAACGATTGGAGATGTGTTATCTATTAGACACGTCTGTCGAGAACGTTTAAATGTCAGATTAATTAACAGAAAAAAAAACTTGGAATTGAAAATAATATTACTTGTTCACTCGCTTTAGAAAAGGAACAATTAAATATTGATTGAAATATTAACCGGAGCAGCAGTTTGTCTGGAAAAAAATATATATTTAATTTCGTGATAGTCTCAAAAATCTTTATGAAACATTTCCAACTGAGCCCAATTTAATATGTTAATGTCTATAATAATAACATAAAATCGGGAAGAATTAGATTCTTGCTTCGCCGAATCGAAATTGAACACATTAAACAAACTCGTAATTGTAACGACTTAAATTCACAATTAGTACACCGCGACAAATTACTCTCATAACAATTGTAAGTCCCGGTGCACATCAGAATGTATGTATTAATCATCTTAAATTAATGTTGATCAATTATAATAACCAGTCCAGTATCCACTAAACTGTACCTTTACCGCTCGTGGAACATCGAGGAACAGGAACTGTTACCTAATACTAACATTTCCTGAGGCTCCCCACGTTAGCTATACGTGGGTTCGTCCGCATATCATCTTCCTGAGGCTCCCTACGTTAGCCATACCTAGGTTCGTCCTTGTTTCTCTACCTTCCTAAGCCTCGATTAACCTACATATTTAATAAAAATAACCACATAACATATTATTATACTTTCACAAATGCGAGATATGCACAAGAAAAGTCAAATCTTGCAAATGATAAACTACCTTAAAATATGCTGATTAAAATAGTACAGAAGAAGAAGTGAATCATACTCATCCAATACGTAGCACACCAACATAACACCGGCATAAAATACGATTTCATAAATTTTCAAGACAAGGAAGAAATTCCTTGAAATTTTCTACAGTCTTGGAAACGCATTAAATTATACAATGAACGATGAAACGTTACTGCTTCCAGATAGACGCTAAAAATCCAGGCAAAATGGTTGATGCGAGGTTGAACAAACGAAAGAAAGAACAAGTTAAAATTGATTTCTCGAGCATCACAATGGGCCAGAAGATTACAGTTTTCCAATGAACGATAGGGTAACAGAGACGATAGACTGAGAATTTTCATTTCTCATCGATATGAAATAAATCCCTTTCTGAATTGGCCAGGGCTTAAGACAGTCGCTGAAGATGCCAGTTCCAAGCATGGAAGCCAATGAAGAAGCTTTTGTGCCGGGATTCAATTACGATCGATGCTTCCGGCGTTGACCTTTTCGAGGAATAATAACGCGCCAGAGTGAAATTAATTAAAATCCTTCGACTCGGCATTCGCACTCGTCGCTACTCTTCAAGGTGCTATTCTCGTCTAAGACTTTCAAAATATCTTATTTTTACCTGCAAAAAATGGCGTACTTTCTTAAAATCTGTATAAATATTTGTGCCTTCATTTCATTTTATCGAGTTTAATCTTTTTATTATAAAAATTTATACGATTCTTTGTTATTTTAAATGACATTTTCTAGAGACTTTTAACGACAAGATAATAATTAAAAGAAAATCTGTTTTTTGATCCTTTAAAGTTTTATGTTCGATCAATTCAACGTGCAGCCTGTGACGTAAACGGTCGATTCTTTGGCAATTTAAAAATATTTTCAATATAATTGAACAGAAACGTTTGAAATTTTCAAAACAGCATGAATATCATAAGGAATTAATTTCCTCACTCAAAGTTAAAAATTGTCCTTTCAACTGCACGCAATGTCCTAACCGAGTTGAAAAAAACGTGCCAGCGACGCGGAAGAGAAACTTACCTAGCGAGACGAAACTCGATACCAGCCTCTTAATTCAATCTCCCTGAATATCATTTATGTCGCAGCAAAGCTCCATTGGAACGTGGAATGGGGGTGGGATGGAAACGTCACATTTCTAGTATTATATTTCCGCGGAGGTCGCCTTATCATCGAGAGACCATTTATTGATTCAGCTCCGACGATGTATTCTTAAACCTCTATTCGGGTACGTCGAAAATAACTGAATGCCTCTGCATAATGCGGCGTCTCGTCGAAATTATAAAAAGAACACGCT